AAAAGAAAAAAAGAAGGGAGGAGGGCCCGCGCGAGACTGAGCCGGACCTAACGTCAGTTGTACGGTACAGAAATATTACGAAAACAACAGCGAAAACAACGCCGGTGAGTTTAACCGCGAAAACGCCATGGGAGGATATCAGAACCAAGAAGATCAGTATCAATATGAAGAAGAAAACAACATGCCTTGAGATTTAAAAAAAACAGTTTATTTACAGAAATGCCATTGATGATTATGGTTTCTTAAATTATGTTCAAGTGTTAGCAAAATGAAACTATAGATTTATTTATGTGCTCCTTTATTTTTTTTTTTTTTTTTTTCCTTTTTGTGTGTTCTCCGATCCACAGCTGCATACTTTGCAATATTGGAAGGACTGAAATATGGGCTTTTTTAATGTTGTTGTACTTTGCTTGTGTGATGTATTTTATATATAAATATATAATATTGAGTAAATTGTATATTAATTATTATATAATCTGAATTAACCTATCTCTAATTAAATAGGTCTATTTTAATTATATATATTATGTTGACTGGTGTGGTTAATTATGATCCCCAACACAACAACTCACCTACCAGAAAGTGTAATGATTTGATTGTTAAAAATGTAATTAAAGTAAATCTTGTCACAGATTGAGGGTTGATTGTTTGTACTCTTTTGTCCTTTGCAGTTTAATTTTATTCTTATGTTCATACTTTTTCTATGGGTAAAAAATTAAGATCACCCCTTAACGTAACATTGAATTACGAAAAAACCTCTCGTATTTAGATAATTACAATCGCTCCTCAAATTAATTGGTTTAAAACTTTAAATCATGAAATTCAATAGACCAGCATTTGTGATAGCCACTTGTGAAAGGAGTAGTGCCCACTGTCGATAATTTTGAAAACAATGGAAAGATCGTGAACATATTTAATGATACAAATCCAAAAGCCAAAAAGTGACAAATTCTTATTTTATTATTCTTGTATTTTCTTGCTCTAGAAAATTATAAAAAAAAAATATATATATATATATATTTAAAAATTAATAATAAAAGGTAGCATATTATTAATTAAAAGATGCCGGTCTAATTCTTCCGCAGATGACGGGACTCACCAATCTTTATTTCACCTTTAAATTTGCCCAAACTTTTTTTTTTAGGTTAAACTTAATCTTCACGGTTCAAAGTCTTTATTGACTTTGATTTTTTTGAATATAAATAAAGCCTTGAATTCCTATGCAATATATGTTTGCTTAGTTTTCCAGCATGCTTTAATTTTATTGTGTGCCCCCCAATCATATTTATTAAAAAATAAATTAAAGATAAAATAAAAGTGGGTAAAAAAGAAAGTAATGGGCAGTCCTACTGAATTTGTTGGAGGCCCATTTCAGCCCGGTCACGAGATTATGGGTCCAAAAGATGCAAAGGTGTAAATGTAAGGTAATAATTATGTTGGGGGTAAAATGGTAAAAACACTGTGACCACTAATGATGGCTTCCATCTTTGCCCACCTTGCGTAATTACTTTTACCCAGTACTGGTTAATTACTTTTAGCATAATTTGACTGTTGAATTACCATTTTAGTCACTGCCAGAAAAACAGAGTTGAAGTTTGGCAATTAGGTGATAACGTACATATGATAATTAAAGCTGCAAGTTGGATGAATGAACCGAATAATTTCGGTATATAATTAATTAATAAACTGGTGAACAAGTAACTATCCTCGTTAAAAAAAGGCGATATAATATATATATATGAATTGAAATTTAAAATGGCGTGTAATTGCGTCGTCGATAATGAATTACAGAAAATTCTCGAAGTACCGACAAGTAATAGTTATAAATAAAGAGGACTTAAGTCTTCCATGGGGGCCTGGCTACAGACTTTTCTATGTTCAACTACCAAGACTTCATGACGGACTTCGAATCAACGAACGACGCTACTTATAATTATAATTTAGTTTTTCGAATGATCGTAATTCTCGGGGTTTCTGCGTGCCAAAGAATATTCATGGAGGTATTTATTTACTTTGGTCCATGATGAAATCGAGATATATACTTTCTATTGTATTGTGTATATCTTCGATTTTCGAATATTCATATGTCGAATTCTTACTTAGTAGTAATTAATTTGTGGCATGCATTATATTGTTTATTATTAGGGTAATGGTCAGATTATGAATGGATGGCCTCTTGGTCTAATTGGAGAGTTAATGAATTCAAGCTCTCATCAGCTGGTGGTGCCGCCGCCGCCACAGCCTCGCAACTCCGGCCTCCGCGGCCGTTCCTCAAGTTTCTCATCACTTTCATCCTCCAATCTTGATACCGAGGTGAAAATAGTACACAACATTCAAATTTGAAGTGTACTTATATATTTTGCTGTGTTGATAATATGTGTGTGTTGCAGTCAACGGCGTCGTTTTTCCCTGACCAAAGTGTAACTCTTGGCCGGCTAATTGGAATTGAACCGGTCTGTAAAGGAACCTCGTACTGCAGACAACATGAACCGGATCTAATTAGGTCTTCAAATAATAGTCTAGAAATAGGCGATACAGATAATAATAATAATAATTCTCAAGGAATTTGTGTTCCACTGTTGCACAGTGTCATCTGGAAAATGGGCCGAACCGGAAGCAGCTCAACACATTAATTAATACAATATTGTTCTTGATTATATATTACTATTACGTAACACTATTACTATATTCTTTCCAATTTATTTATATATTCTAAATGTCACTATTTCGTATTTTACTGCTCAATCATATTATCATAGTATGGTACACCTTTTAGTTTCACCAGTTTATTAAAAATGAACAGAAGAAAAAAAGATAGCATACGTACACTATTAGATTTCATTAATTATAACCTTATTTAAATTATATTGAGAATCTTGTGCTAGTTATTATTATTGTCAAATTATAAAATTCAGTTCTGGAAATAATTCAACTATAAATGGGCCTTTTACTTTTTGCAGAAAATACAATTTTCATCCCTCAAGTTTGTGCCGATTTCAGATTTGGTTACCCATGTTAAAAAAATAAATACATTTGGTCATTTATGTTTCACTAACGGAATCAAAGCGTGTGAGCATTACTGCCTAAACTAACGGACTAACGGCAAATTGACGAAAATGACAAAAAATGTTTAAATTATTGGAACAAAGGGACCAAATGTGTTTTCCGTGAACATGAGGACCAAATGTGAAATTAGTAAAAACTTGAGCGGTGAGAACTGTAATGTAATTTCCCCAACTTTTTGCAATAGTGTATAGTAGATTATTACTATTATTATATTATTTTATTATTATAGAGACCCATCAGCAAAATCCGGTACAGAACTAAACCCCCAAAAAGCCCTACCTCTGTTTTGGGCGCCGACGATCTCTTTACACTAAAACTTCTGCCTCCGTCATGGCCTCCTTCGCCGCCAGGTCAGTCCTGCGCTCCGCCACTTCATCTGCCAGAGGCGCCACTGCCAGATTCTCCGCCGGTGTCAAGCCTAGTACCTCTGCCTCCGCCTCCGCCTCTGCATTTCGCACCCCATCTCAAAAACCCCTATCCGCTCGCATTTTCAGGTAATTCTTTCAATCGAATCGAATTTCACCTTAATCGATGCGCGTGGAATTCTGTTTAATGCAATTGGATGCCTGACATGCGCGCTTGCAATAGGTCGCCTGTGGAGATGAGCTGTGTTGCGGCGTCGATGTTGCCCTACCACACTGCAACTGCCTCCGCGCTGTTGACTTCCATGCTCTCCGTTGCTCCACGAATCCACGCTTGGAATATTGAAGGTATTTATTTACATTTTTTTCAATGCTTACAGCTATCGAATTTGCCGTAATTCCTGTTTGTATTTGAATTGACTTTTATGTGATCTTCCAGTTGAATGTGATATTTGTTTATGTGCGGCTTTTAATAACTAAGATATTCTTCATCTCTCTGGTTCCACATTTTCCGCACCTACAATTGTGTCGTTCTGTTGTATTGATGTACTTTTCTGTTTTCCGGTTCAGGAACGGATATATTTGTGCCTTAAAATGTTCATCTTTCTCAATTATGATTACAGATTAGTTTGATTGGCAGTGTATTTTGATAAATGGCCACACTTATTGTTTAGTTTTCGAGTATATTTTTCTTGAGAAATGACCCTGATCGAACTTTAGCTCCTACTTTTCAGGGAAATTATAAGGTTTTAGTGGTTAAATAGGCATAGGAACTTCAAATCAGGCAATTTAACTTACTATTAGACAATTTTCTGACAGTAGGTGATATTTCAGAAGATAAACACAACAGATAGTTTTTTGACATTTATCCATCACACCAACTTTTTATTGTTATTTTGTACATTGTTATATTTAAGGTTCAACACCAAGTTCTCAAAATAAAAGAGGCATTCTTTTTCATCTTGTAGGGCTAAAAAGGACTAGATGAAGGTCGTGAAAAGGAGGTGAAGTTATTTTATTCTCTTATCTAATGAAGATAATGAAGCATGTTACCTAATTTCATCATAGATTAGATGGTCAGTCGTAACAAAAAAATTCCTTCTACGGTTTATCCAAGTAGAAAGGCCCTACTGTATGGATCGACGCTACATACAAGATGACCCGGAACAAAGAGAGATAAAAAGTTAAAACGTAACCTTGCTAGTAGGTTGGATCTACACATGAGTTTGAACTTATGACCTCTGAGTAATGATGGAGAACAATCCTTTGTGATCTTCTGAATAATATAATAATACCTTGTTGTATTTCGGTTGAATATTGTTCCGAGTTCTGTAAGTCTCGTGTTTCAACAATCTTCATGATTGAGTCAAAAGGAGATAGTATTTATGCTTGAGTTTTGTGGGATTTCGGGCCAAAAGTTGTGAAAAAATAGCTGGGGATAATCCATTTGGTGTAATGATTTGTGGTGCCATTTCTACAGTAGGCTTTAGCTACATCTTAAGCAATACAAAGCTCTGCTCATCATTGGGCTGGGTTTATAGATTCTCTTCTCTTTAGTCCCCTGTCATAAACCACCAAACAACCTTCCTAGTTTTAGATCCTTTCTTAGAGAGTCTGTATACTACATTGTGAAGTCTGAAAACAATTTTATCCGCATCGATTACTCTAAATTAGAATGTGGGTCTAGGAAAAATCTCGTTGACGCCTTAAATAGATTTGATGCCTCATACAGTACGCATTTTCAAAATTCTCAAGTAAGCCATTAGACAATTCTAGGATGTTAGTATCTGAAATGTAGTTTTTCCTTGACTATTTATGAATGAAATGCTTTGTTAAGCATCGGATAAATAGGTCATGACTGAGGAAGTCATTTTCTATAAGAGTAATCATTTGTTACCTCTTTAGCTATAGTTTTTGCTAATCAAGCCGCATATAGATCATGCTAATATGTGGTATTCATCAGATTCCAACGATGGTGTATGATTGGATGGTTCCAGCGAAGTTTATTTACATGTGCACTAGGAGAAGGCCTGATAAATAGTCATGAATGAGCTCAACACAAGAAATGACCGATTTCCTCTGTTTTTTCGTTTTATTTTAATTAGACTATCAAATGCTAAGATGAACGAAGCTAATTGATTTGTCAAAGTCAGAATGATTATTGATATTTGTAAAATGTTCACAACTTATATGGCATTTTTTTACCTCCTTGAGAAGCGCATGTTAGTTGATGTTACACCAGGTGCATGAAGCTGAATAGTTGTTTCTTTAATTAAGTTGGAAATATTTCTGTATAATCTCTAAGTATGCAACTTGTTCATATTTTCCGTCGACAGCCAAACAATTTAGAGATGTAGCGGATTCAAACTTTGACGTTGGCTTTTTTTTCTTTTCCTTTATAGGGTTGTGATAACTGCTCATTGGCTGAGTAAGGATTGAAGATATATTCCAAATTTCTCATTTTGTTTCTTCTTAAGTTTGTATTGGACATAGATAACATCTGTGCTTTTTTTTTGTGTGACTTTTGGCTGCATGTAACAAAAACAATTATCATTTCGACTACCATCAGCTACAATTTTTCTTTTCCTTTATCACAGATGGGTGATTAGGGTTTCAACATGCGGTGGTGAGTTCACATGTAATACATACTACTGCCAGAGACTTTTTTTTTCGCCTTTACTGTGGTCAGAGTCTGAATGTTGACCCACGAAAACATTTAAAATATAATTTTCCGAGATTCGACGGCAGGAATGCATTACATCTTAAAGTGTGTTTGGGATGAGGCGGTTTTTAAATGTATGTTAGGTTTGGCGGACTTCAATGGCTGTGGTTGATTTATCGAATTCAGTAATGTTTCTTTGTTATGATTATCACGAATATTTCATAAATTCCATTTCTTTAGTATGATTTTCACAAATATTTTCAGAAAGTAAAATTGTATAGAAATTCAAATTGTAATATGTATACCAATTCCGTTCCATCCAAGTTCAGGAAAATCCAAAATCAAGTTGGATAGTCCTCCAAAGTAGCTACACAAGTTGGATGATCAAGCCGTTAATAAACATAAAAAAGATCAACTTGTGCTTACCATATAATCAATGCAGTCTTCTTTACACAGCCAAACATTAAATCTAAAATTAGATCCGAGTCCTAACCCACGTTAATTACCTTAATGGAAAAAGAAAAAAAACAACCTAACCGGAGAATCTAATATACCAGTTTACCCAATAGTCATAAATTAAATCAAACTACCAATAGCATCAACAGGTTTGCTAGAAACATTCAAGAATCTTCCACAACGTTAACCAACTCGTATTCCACTAGGGACAAGTTGTTATCCTCTTTAACTTCAAATTTTGCTGGCTCGGCAACCTCGATCCGGCCCCACTTATCTACAGCCAGCCTCATTGACCCCTTGAACATGTCAATCTTGGCATTTCTAAGTATCACAGTGTTACCTGGCTTCATCAAATCAACTGCAAGGAAAGTTAAGCTTTTCATTAACTAATAAGCCTAGATATATGATCCATGAAAGAAGAAAAAAAACCGCTCTTGATTCATACATCACTTCGTAAGAAATCAGTAAGACGAGTTAAATAAATAAATCAATTCCACAAAACAAAGTCCAGAAATGCATTCTGTTGCAAAAGAAAATGTTTCTTGAACATATAATTGCCTTTGCAATTAGTACACAATCAACTCATAAGTTCCGTAGTATAAGCCTTTCTCTGTGTTCCCTTTCCTTCGAAACAATTTCATTCTTCTCACGATAAAATAGAGTCCACTATACATCAATATCATGAGTCTCGACTCTCGACATTACTCAAATGTTTATATTATAATCAAGGTAGTCAAAATCGAGATTTTAAGTGAAATCGGAGAGGGGTAGTAAAATCGGAAACGTAAAATCGGATCGTAAAATCGTAAGATTTTACATGTATTGTAAAATAAATATATTTAGTACTTACTACTTAGAAAACACCCGTAACACAAATAAAATAAGTCATAATACACATAAAATGTCCTAAAAATATAAAACATTCCAACATTAATTAAACATAGTCTAACATAAGATAACTGAAACTGACACTCACAACCGCTGGATGTTTTTTTAGCAGAAGAGAAGTATTTTCTTCCTGTCGTGATAGATTGTTATTTTAGGGCAGGGCTGAGCTTTATATATTCTGGATTATTTGGTAATCAGCTAAAAGATTTTAGTTAAAAAACTGAATTTATGAGGCCAAAATCCAAAATTTCAGCCCAATTGTTGACAAAAACCAAAATCGCCAAAATCGCACTAAAATCGCGTTTGTAACGATTTTAACGATTTTGAACGCGATTTCACACGATTTTAAGGCACCTGCGATTTTAGTGCGATCTTAATCCTTTTCAGTGTCTAAAATCTTAAAGTCTTACGATTTTACGATTTAGATCTCGATTTTAACTACATTGATTATAATACATATGTACCATATTCATCTCTCTTTATTAAAAAAAAATACATACAATAAATATTATAAAGGAGCAGGTGTAACGCTAATGTAACACCACGACAAAAACGACTACGACAAAAAATACATCCCAAAAAATAAATGGATCATTAATTCTCTCAATACAAAAACAGCATGTCCCAAAATACCAGGGGCGTACCCATGCTTATGTCTGGGGTGGCCCCCGCCCCCCAAGAATTTTTTTTAAGCTGTTTTTTTTTATGCATTAGTTAATGCACTTTGGGCCCCCCCCCCCCCCCCAAAAAAAACTTTTATTTTTGTACACTTTAGTCCCCCCTCCCCTACTTCCACTTGTAATGGACTTGAATTTACTCAAAAAAAAAAAAAAAAAAAAAAGTCCCCAAAAAAAAAAAATATCCTCTTAAATTACCCCTATATTTCAGCCCCCACGAAAACCCCCTGGGTCCGCCCCTGCAAAATACCCAGAATGAAACAAATATTCCCTAATCCCTATGCTTCTCAAATGCAAAATTGAGTATTTTGAACCACATACGACGAATTTATGTAGTCAATTAATTAGCCAAAAGCCAGATAATTAATCAGATGAAGGAGCTCAATAACTGATTAGATCGAATAACATCAACATCAGCACAAAATTCAAAATTCAAAAAATTCCAAACAAATACCTTGTTCGTTACGAGCAGTAAAGAGGATAGCCGCAGTATCATCGCCGATGAGGCATTCAGCGATTTTCGAATTCTGGTTTTGAGGGCCGCGAAATTTCGGGTTTCGGGGCTTTTTGTTGAGAACGGCTTCAGAGCTCACTACCTTCACTATCAGTGTGTGCCCATTCGTACCCGGCTTTAAAGCGTCGACTTTTACGAACACCGGCTTTCGCAGCCCTGGCTTGTTTCCGACGGCGCCGCCTTGCTGCTGAGTTGTTGCCGGTGAGGATTTTGTCGCCATCGGCGAGATAGAGATGGAGTGAAGAGAGGAATTTCTAGGGTTTTAGAATTCAATATCTGGGAAAATCAGAAACCCTAGACCTAATTACAGAAGTTGGAACCTGGAAGGTATGCTCGTTTGAAGGGTGGGGCAATGGAAATTATTGGAGGGGGCTTATTGTAATTTTAGAAATATCTGAAACGACGCCGCTCGACTCCTTACTTTTCGTCAAGGGCTATTTGCTAGAAATTGGGCCCGAACAAAATAGCCCAAATGAAAAGATATATTGTTGGGCTTGCAACAAAATAGCCCAGATAAAACATTCTATTAATTTAATAAAATCTTAAATTATCGAACTAATAATTTAGTACATTTTGACCGAATCAAGATAAAAAAATATATATTATTTAAACGAGATCATTAATTTATGGAGTATTATTTTTATCAAGGTTCTAACTTCTAATATACACGGCTTTTTTTTTTTTTTTTGGGAAAAATATACACAGTTAGTAACAAAAGAAACAAAGACATAATAATAAATATTTTACCAAATTTTATTTAATGATTGAACTGTTTTTTTATTTGTTTGTGCTTTTATTTGAACTTTGACCTTGAGCTAAAATACAAAACCAAAACTACATAAACAGTCAAGTCAATGGTTTTCCCAAGTAAAAAATAGGACAACTAACTCGGGCCGGGCCGGGGCGCCGGGCCATCATCTGAAAATCCGACATTTTCTCCCAACGTCAGCTTCCTTCATCTCTGTAAAATACCAAGTGAATTTGTCGGAAGATTAATTTCTGAGCCAAAAAAAAAAAAAAAAAGATTCACCGCAGACATGAAAAAATAAATTAAAAAAATAAATAAAAACAAACCCATGATAATTGATTGATAGCACATTTCCATTAAGGAGAGAGAGTAAATAATAATTAAGAAAATCAAGCCACCATTTTATCCTTGATCATCATCTCCAAGAAAATCCGACCTCAGTTTTCTTGGGGATGGACGACTCTGATGATTTCTGGACGGCAAGAGGCAGCAGCTCAACCACCGTCATCTGAGCCCCACCTCTCAATTGGGTTTGCTTTTTTCAATTCCCTCTTTTTCACCCCTCTCATTTTTGCTTGATCGATCTTGCTATATATGGAACAGATTCATTCATTTTTCATTTTCTTTTTAAAAGATGGGTTGATGAATATGGAGGATCTTGAGGCCCGGCCCGAATACCCATGCCCGTATTGTAACGAGGAGATTGATGCAGCTTCCTTTTGCTCACATCTACAGGCTCACCACTCTTCTGAATCAACACCCACCGTCTGTTTCTTCTCTCTCTTCATTCATTTTCCATCTTTTATATGTCTTTTTTCTCTTCAAATTCATGTAATAATTATTTGATTTTTAGTCAAAAAAGATATTTATTATTTAATTTTTTTTAATTTTTATTTTTGTTTCCTATTTGGTGTAATAATTTGAAATGACTTTAAGTTTATGTGGCAGGTTTGCCCTATTTGTTCAGTTAAGGTTTCTGGGAACATACTAAGCCACATCACAATTCAACATGGACACTTATTCAAGATATCCTTATCTCAATCCCACATTTGTTTTATTATATATTTATATTTTTATTTTTTATTTTTATTATTTTCACATTCATAGTATACAAATACTGCAGAATTCTGCACTGAATTTGGGAAATAATAATATGTCTTTAACACAGTTAGTAGTTACCTTGAGCTGCGTAGGCCAATGCGTAGATTTCCGATTTCGAACAGCCAATCATTATCTCTACTTGGAAGGGATCTTAGAGAAGCCCACTTACAGCTTCTTCTAGGAGGAGCCAGTCCCGCCACTCGTCACCAATCAAATAGTGCCACGTCATCATCTACCATAACTGATAAATTCCTTTCCTCCCTTACTTCCAACTTGTCTGCATCTGAAAGTGACGAAATTTCGAAATCTTTGATATCGAGTTTAGAGGAGGATGATTATTATGTGAAAAATGTGGCGTCCGAACACACGTGGAAATCGAGGTGTATTATTCACCACATTATTAATTTGCGTGAAAACACTTTTATTTTGTATAATATTGTTCAGTCTTCTAATCTTTTCTCTATAAATTTGCAGTTATTACTATTCATTGAGTCGCGAAGAGAGAGAAAAACGAATGGAAGAGGCGGCCGGAAGAGCTGTTTTTGTGCAAGATTTATTTTTTTCGACTATATTAGCTGAGCTGTGAAATTAGTAAGTTGTTTCCACGGTCGAAACTAAATCGAGTCTTTTTTTTTTTTTTTTTTTTTTTACGAGGACATTTGATGTGATAGTCATGCATTTCGCAAATTAATTTGGAATTGTGGAACATGTTTGTCTCGTGAACCCCGTTTAAGGAATGTTTAATAACTGATTGTCTTTTTCATCTACTATATTGGCCAATAGAAAACAGGATGAGGATTACGAGAGGTAATCAAGATTAGTGATAATTAATAAATGATGAAACATTTTTTCATTTTTTTCTTTTGGTAGTGTTTTGAACACAAGCTACAAATAATCTTTTTCATTAACTGGTATAAGAACAGCAAAATGTACACAAACACGAACTTCCATTGAAAATTTCAGTTATGCCCTCTCACATCAAGAAAGAATCATCCGAAACAATAGTCAACAGAGAATACTTCACCTTAATCCTAATCATCGCCACCTCAACGCATAGCTTCGCACCCGTCACCACCCAATAGCCTGGAGCATCTTCCGGGCCCCGCACCATCTCTTTCGTATCAACAAAGTGGGCCATCTTCGGTGCTCTCGCGGGCGTGGGCGGCCCGCCCGGATAAACAGCCGAGTTCAAATCCACCTTCACCGCCTTCTTATTCTTATCCTGCTGCTGACTCAGCGCACTGCTGAACGGTGTGCTCATCAGCATTGACATCAGCCCCGATTTTTTCGACGAAGTCGACGGCCCGTCCCATTCGGACCGCCGTATTACTGCGGACGCTACCGTAGAGAATCCGAGCCTCAGGAAGAGGACCTTTTTCATGCCCATCCCCTTCACCTCGAAATAGGCCTTTGTCACGATGGACGCTGAGTCATCGATGCGGGCCCCGTGATACTCAACGGGGGCGGTGCATATGTGGGAGAAAATGCTCCACTTGACCGGTTCGAAATATGCCTTGTCTATGGATTCGTCTACTTGTTCGTACGTGTGGTCGGGCGAGAGATGGAGAGATTGTGGGAGAGTTGATAGATGTTGTAGATGGATGGCTAAGTGGTCGCTCCTCTTTCCTTCCAAGAATAAGCGGATTCCGGTCACGGGTAGGTTGCATGTGTCCACCTAACACGTTATTTTAATTTTGAAATGTTAAATGAAAATCTTCGACAGAGAAATGGAAGTTTTCGTACAATTTTTTTACAGGTTGGTTACTAGGGATGAAAGTCGGAACGGAACTTTCAATTTCCGCCAATTCCGAACAGAAATTTTATGATTTCGGAACAATATTTTTCATTCCGAATTCTGATAGTTCCGATTCCAGTTTTTCCAATATTTTGTATTATATGTGACTATAAATTGAAATTTCTGGATTCCACCGATTCCAATCCGAAAACTTCCGATTTTGGGAAAAAAGAATTTCATTCCAGTTCTTTAGATTCCGATTTTTTTGTTTCTTTTTGGGAACGGAATAGGAAGTTATCCACTTCCACAAAAAAAAAAAAAAGTATTTTTTTTGCAAGTGCTAATTCCGATACGATCCGTCCAATATCATCCCCTACTGGTTACTATTGTTTTAATTCTGATAAATCAATTGCGAAGTTAAGGATTTACCTTTACGGTATTGACATAAAGCTTAGGCCCCAATAATGTGAACTGAAGAGCCGGGGATGATTTTTTCTTGCGGCAAGGACCGAGAGGGAGATCATTGAATGCTGGGGCCCACTGCCGAGGCAATTGATATTCCAGAAATTGAGTGAGTTCCTCTAGTGGTGGTTTATCTGCAAGAACAAGACAATGCTATCAGATATTTATTTAACCTGAGCTAATAATATATAAGTAGTAATCTCAGTAGAATAAATCTTAAAATGGGTAAACTCACATCTTAGGTATAAATTAATTGCATGGGTTAAAAATCCACTGCCTCGTGTACCACTTAAAAGCGATGCAATAGGCACGAAAGACATTGATATCACATTAGGGAACTGTGATACAGTCGAAAGCCACTGATTATGACTTTGACCGTTATCCAAACCTCCTCGTCTGATATGAACGCTGAACAAATCCTGCATCGAGAAATAATTTAAACTCTATTAGCTCAAGAAAGTAAAATAAATATATAAGAATATTCTGATATTAATACTTACATCAGTTTTGGAGTGAGAAACGACAGGTGGTCTTACTGTACTTGCAAATGGTAACTGTAGATCCCAGATCATAGATTGTTCAATCTGTGCGAAGATTTAAATTTTAAAAGTTATTACATGGTGCAGTAGATAATAAAGTGTTGGTTTGATTCTAATGTTTAAAGTACCTTCGATTTTCCTGACGATGAAATTTCAGGCTTTTCGTTTCCGTCTTCACGAAAATTTTCATCAGCCAACTGCTTTAACAATTTTTGCACTTCAGCGGTCTGTAGATTTGAATTTTGAAGCTGCTTAATATGAATTACGTCTTTACCTCCCATCTTTACTCCAACTATGACATGAGTGCCGTATTTATCAATAAACCTGGAAATTCATGCCATCGTTAATAGGTTAACTGAACCGTTAAACAAGCAGAATTAAGTGCATAGCAATTTGCACGAACTATAAGCTGAGGACACAATAAGTAAGAACGAGACTTTAAAAATGGATTTAATCAAGAAAATTATGCTGGTTATAGGAAAATTTGAGATTCAAGATAAGGAACTTACGAAGCAAGTGCAACGGGATCCCAGGTGGAAGGAACTTCTTGTTTGACTTTATCAGAGAGAGTTATTTGAGATCTTTCCAACTCGATTCTATACAAACTAATCAACCAACCATCAAAAGCGAGAATCTTTGTGGTGGATGCATCGTTCTGCCAGCAACCCTTGTATCCAAACATTGCATTGAACAGGCCAGAAGGTATTTTACCGGATAAAGATAATTCCTGGTTGAATTGCTCTGACATCTGAACAAAATAATTAGATCATTGTTAAAACTTAAGAGTTTCATGTGGTACGTCTAATTATCCATATCACCAGCTTCCGAAATTTTAATTGCATTACCCACGATGAAATCCAACTTCATTGTCATTAACAAATTTGGATACGGTTAACTAATTATCGTCGCATTTGAAGAAATGATATTTCCCGTTCGGATAAATAAATAGCTGTTTGCCAACTATTAGTCAATATTTACAGCATAGGAGAATCTCACGACAAGGTATTCCGGGTCATCGGCATTTGTTCAACAACTCCTATTTAATTAAGAGCTGGCCAGAGTTGACTTCCGATTAAGAGACTTCAATCAAGGCAGCTCTGTGTGTGAATTGCTGAATTAGGAACAGCGCTCTGGATTTCAGCTAGAACTCATCATTTATGGAAATTTTAATTAATTATATGAACAGCTAATCTGAACTATTTTGTAGGCTACCAAGCTAACTTACTTCTTAATTTTTCCATGTTTAGCTGATAGTCACAATCCAAATTTTCGGTGTCTTACCTTTTTAGGGGCATTAAATTTCTATTCTTAATTAGAACAGAATATCTTTCCGTTTTAGCTACATGCAGTGCAGGGGATCAATTATAAAATGGAAATTGGAAATAAAGGGAAAATAGGGCAAAAAATACCAATACAAATTTCAAATAAATTAGGTTTTGAAGGGAATATTATTAGTGACCTGGTTGAAGGAGAGAGCGTCGGAGCTAAACCTAGTCCGTTCGTCTTTATCGCACTTGATAGAAGCAGAGACGCCTGAAACGACGACGTTTCCAGGAACCACTAAGTCCTTGGTTCGGGTCCGGTCCAGGTATATCAAACCCGACCCAGACGGTCCGGGCTTGCAGGCGGCTAGCCGGAGATCCATCGTTAGATCGTAACCGAATCCGATAACTGAGACGGCCTTCTCCGCTGCCGACTGCGGGTCCAGCCGGACATTGTTGCCCGGATTGTACGCCATGGATGCGTTTGTAGTATTTCGGGGAAGGGTTTTCTCAGAGAACCTGGAGCTGGAAGAAACGAAATAAATGCCGGGCGTTGACTGATTTATACTATCGTAATTCTGAAATATATGGTCCAATGAATGACCACTGGACCCAGTCAATTACCGAAATAACCTTATTTAACGTGACACGTACAAGGGTGAATCCGTCAATTTAGTGTTTGTTGAGTATCTTACGGAAATAATTTAGATTAATGCAAACAATAATGCTACTTACCATTTCCCTATTTAGCAAGAATTTTACAAAGTCCAATTTAGTTCTTTCGACGAAAGGAACTTGTCATACATGGTGAGCTTAGTCTGATTTACGTCTCTTATATAATTTACAAGATTATTATAAAAGGGTACTGATTTACTCGATGCAACTATATAAAAATTGTGCTTCACGAATGAGAGATATTCGTTTTTTTTTTTAATCTAACTGGAATTATAGATATCATCAACTATTTGTTATAAGAAGTATAACAAAATGACAAAAATATTATTTTATAAACTAAAAATGATGAGGTATAATAAATACATGGATGGGTGAAACATAAATCGGAATTAAATGGTGATGGCAAATAGTTGTTGTAGTTTCCCTGTGGATGGTGGTAATTATTAATAAATTAATATATAGTTTTTGTAAATTGAAATTATTAATATGACAGATTTGTGGGCCCCCTTTGTTTTACGTGTGGGATAGGTGATTTTGACGTAATGAACGAGTTTCAAATGTTGACTTTTGACTATTGATTTTGGGATGTAGTGAATAGTGATACCCCCAATGTGGACGGCGGCTAGTGAGAATACTTTTTGAGTCCCCATCTCGGTGCCACGTGGCTACCTATTGAAAATATCAAAAATTATAATACTTTAGATTATGATAATACTTTTAGCCAACATAATATTTTCTATAAAAAATAAATTGTAAATATATTTCCAATTAAATTACAAATAAATAACAATTAAATTCGCATAAAACTTTCCGTTTACAATGTGTGTTGACTGACTAGCAAATTTTGACTTACGGCGTCGTTTTGTTGATGTGTTCTAGTTGTTAGAGTCAGTCTCGTTTAATTTATTATTTAACAATCCAAATTACATGTGACACAGTCATCAGCAGCATGCAGCAGTATTCACCACGAAACAAATAAACTATTCACGTCCAAATAATTTAATGCCATTTGTAATTAACAATTAAATTAAATTAAATACTTTTACTAAACAGTTCTTAGAATTTAGTAGCACGTTTCGGTCAAGCTGAAAATATTCTGATAGTCAAAGTCCGATACATACATTGTTTGAAAAGCCTTGAATTATGAGCATATTACATAAAATAAATAATTTAAAATTTACATAAATAAATAATTTAAAATCAGCCGACAAAATATGTATATATATGTACATATATAGATATCATATGATTGGTCTAGTTTCCGACCACGACTTTCCTCGCGGCCGCGCCTCCACCGACCCACACTCTTATAATCAACGATCCACCACAAAAGTTTCAACCAAACGCAGCCCTTGTGGAAAAATACTGCCAAGAAATAAACATATTTACTATTTAGTACCCCTCTGAAAGTCGCAACTGTGTTTATCTCCCCTCTGTGATAAAGAACGAGCAAATACCCCATGTACGTATTTTTAGAGTAGCACACTCGCTCGTTCACCTTTTTTTCCATTAACCAGATGTGAAAATACAAAAATATCCCAGAAAGTTATTGGAACCCCGATTTTTGGAGGAAAAAATCATAGCAATATTATAATTAATTTTGATTATATATCCACGTGTCTCCGGCTGCCAATCATTAAAAAAAATTAAACATCTTAATTTAAAAAAATACAAAAGAGGTGTATTAAATATATTTAATTATAATTTAAATAGTTATTGGGCACGTATTAAAATTAGTTCAGGCCCATTAATTTATGGGCTTTTATATAAAATGTTCTATAATCACATATGAGCATCGAGCCCAAATCAAATGTGTTCTCTGCTCTGTGAAAGAGTGGATAAGAAACAGAATCTAGAAATTCAGAATAATTACACGTGTCTATTCCACAATGACTGCAGCCATAGCTGCCAGCAAATTTGGAATTATTGGCACATAGCCATCAATGAATCTAGCAGGATTCTGTATTCCTCTTGCTGCATTTACCTAAATCCACAGATAATTATTGAAACCAGGGAGTCCCTTTATCCATATGTAGAGACCCCAAATTAAATTTTATAAAAAATAATATATTAATTTATTGAAAATTCTATATGAGTCAATGCCCACTTTTGCATATAATATTAAACACTAATTATGTAGATGTTCCAATTGTATACTCCATAAAGATAAAAATATAGAAGGTTTCCTAATTACATCAATCAAGGTTATATGCATTTATAGTTAAAAATAATATTCAGTCAAAAATCACATACTTAGGTTTGTCACAAAATCATGCTGGCTTTCTACTTTACCATACGCTCTACCACATACGTGTCCCCTCCCTATTGGTGTGAATATCCACACTAAAAGAAAATAGAAGTAGTACCCAAAAAGTGTGCACCACCGCGTGAAGCAACAATGTCGCCGCTTTCAGGGTCGGCTCTGAGGGCGAACGATCGTGCTTAGGCCCTTAACCTATAAGATTCCCGGCTTTTTTTGTTGTTTATACATATATTTAAATAAAATTTGAACAATTGGAAATGCTAATATTTATTTTTTTTAGAAAATTAAATTAAATTAATTTTCATTGTAAATACGTTAAGTCAATTTCTGTAATTTCATTTTACAATAGTTGATTATTCATCTTTGCTCTCCTTATATACACATAAAATAGGTTTGTCATTTAGAGTGAATTTAAATTAATCATGAAATTATAATTATTATTTATTTTATAAAATCTTAAAAGAGGAATACTTATTTAATTATTGGGTAAATTACAACCACTCATGAGGTTTGGTCAAATTACGAAAACCCCCACTTGTTTTGGTAATTACTAATTACCAATTACAATCCCCTCAACTATTAATTATCTTACACGTTCCACCCTTGCGGTTTGAAATTTAGTGGAATCTTCTAGATTATATGGAATATGTTCAAATTTGGGCCCGTTTTTATCCCATTAGAATTCCACATTTTGAAGATGATCATAAGATATGTTTTTTGGCTTGTAAATATCAGATTGTGGTGCATCAGAAACTATAGTTTTGCACAAAACGAGTATAGACTAGATAACATTCCACAGAATCTAGAGAATTATGTTGAATTTGACACCATAAGGGTGAAAATTTAAAAAGATTCATCATAGAAAGTATATGTAATTATTCAAACATGAAGATTTTTTTCATAATTTGACCATAACTCAGGAGTTGTTGGATTTTCTATTGAAAGATGTATACATATCTTATCACCTTTTATGAGTGTAATGGTTTATATTCATATAACATTTTCTATCATTAAGAATTTTGCACAAAAGCGCAAAACAATATGCGTCAATATATTCGGTTGTCATGATCTGAAATATCGACTCGAAATTGTTTGATTATATTTTTAAATCGATATAAAAATATCGATTTCGTAATTTGATTTGATCAGCTGGTTAGTTTACTGATCAAGGCCAAACATAGTTATAGAATTTCTCAAAAATTAACAATAATACAAATAACTAGTGTTTTGCATCAATTAAAAATTGACAAATGGAAATATACATAACAAAGAATACAATTACAAGCTAAAACATTATTATGGTGAAAAATATATGAAAGGAAAACATAAGGGGTGAGAAATGTAAATAAGAGGAATATAAGGAGTCTCTAAAGAAATGGAATACACATGCCTCGTAGTACGAGAATACGCCACGCAAAGTCGTTGGCCGCAGTCAGCTGTACAAACGTTGGACACTCGTTTCACACTTCCCACGTATCCAATTAACAAAAACGGTGCCGTTGCCGCCAACAAATCCCACTCTCCACGTGGCAGTTTGGTCCCACCTCCTTTCTTTGAGACCCTTCTATATATTTACCCCTCGGTCCTCTTCTTTCTTTCAAGCCGTACTCTCCTAATTTATTTCTCTAAATTAAACAACCATTAATTTGCATACAGTGTATATGTAATGGCGCCGAGGCCTAGGGCGGCGGCTGCGGCGGCGGAAACCGGCCAACACGAGACGCATTTTCGAGGCGTGAGGAAGAGGCCTTGGGGTAGGTACGCCGCTGAAATTAGGGATCCGGGCAAGAAGAGCCGCGTGTGGCTCGGCACATTCGACACGGCGGAGGACGCCGCCAGAGCGTACGACAACGCCGCCCGCCGATTCCGCGGCTCCAAGGCCAAGACGAATTTTCCTCCGCCGGATACGGACATCAACAAACCCAATTGTTTCTTCACCAATATCCACAGCCCCAGCCAGAGCAGCACCGTCGAATCCTCCAGCAGGGAGACATTCCCGCCGTCGCCGCCGCCGGCGGCGGTGCTGGATTCAACCTCTTGGACCTCACTATCGGCCCCCGACAAATGAGATTCCCCTTCCAGCAGAACCGCATTCTCCGCCCAGACGCCCCTGTTCCCGCCGCAGGCGACGGTCAATTTGTTAAGATTCTGCCGCTTCAATCCACGATGCTGAACTTCCGTCCAGAATCCCGGCAGGAAATAGTAGAGCTAATGAACGGAATGCGGCGGCCGCCCGTGGATAACCACGGCGGCGGCGGCGCGGCGCAGAGCGAATCCGACTCATCGTCTGTTGTCGTTGACCTTCCCAGGTCGTCGGCGTTCAGCAAAGGCCTCAATCTAGATCTCAACCTTCCTCCGCCGGAAAATCTTTGATCTCCGGCGGGATGAATTTTCGTTTAATCGAATTTAATATTTTCGTTAAAACCAGGAAGGAAAAAAAAAATCATAGAAAAAAATCGGTGATAGATTTGAAATGATCGATCCGGTTGTTGTTTTCCGACGAGATTAAGGATCACCGTTGGTTGTGAATAGTTGTAGCCGATCTACCTTTTTGTTCTTTTTTTCGCAACGGCCAAATGAGAAATATAATTCATCGGAATTTAGCGCCGTCGTTTATTAACTTCCAACTCTGTGTTCTGAATTATCAATGTAATTTAATTTTGCATTTAAATATTCAAAATATTAAATCAATAGTTCGTTCATTATCTGCAAATTTTTATAAAATAAAACATTAATATCAAATTTTTCCAATGTTAGTATAACATTCGTTTGTTGTTCAGAGGGAATAAACTCACTCGCCGGAAAACGTACCGGAAAATTGGGCTATGTTGTCGGTCAATTAGCCACGTGTGGGTCCATGTCTGTACGGACACTACCGTGATACGTGTGTTCGAAAATGGTGCTGGGATTCCCTGCCACGTAGTGCAGTGCACTGCGCCTCCTCATAGAGGATAATTACACGTTAAAGTAAAGATCACGCGTTGAGATCATCATCATAAATTATTTTCTATTTTTTTTTAATTGTATAATAATTTCTGTATAACTAATAAAATGTTTACATATCTTAAAAATAGCCATTTAATAGATGAATTTGATTTTAATGAATTAAATTTTAGTCAAAAAATAAAAGTATGGTAAAAAGCATGAGGAGTGGCATGAGTTAATTTGTCAAAATTAAATTTGGTCACCACCAATAATAAATGCAATATTTATTTTCAAAAAAGAAAATTGAAATGCTACCTTAGCTAGAAAGAAAGTTGAGTCAATGAAATTGAAATATGTCTACTAGTTAAAAGAAAATTTTAAAAAATGTGCTCTTTTCAAAATTGTAAATTCCAGTAATACAAACAAGGCGCAAGGGCTTAACAGTAATTTGAGATAAGTTATGCATGTGTGATATAAATAATAAATAAATAAGATAATGAAAAGATAATGAGAGGGTGGAGTGGCTCTCAAATTCCAGCCGGCACTCGTGTTTGAAAACCGGGTCAAAAACCCTAAAGTGTAAACAAGTGGAAACAATAACACAAAAATCATAATGTTGACTAATGATTTGAAGTTTGAACACAAGAAAATACCTTTTTTGGTACCCTATTATAGTCCCACATGGTATAAATATTATTAATTAAGGAATATACCATTAAGATACATTAAAGTTAGGATAACATATTGTGTTTGTAATACCTACTTCCAAATTCTACTTTTTTAACTACAAAAAAGTTCACATAAATTCGATTTTATTGTCGTCAGAGATGAACTAGACAAATGGAAAATGTAGAAGTAGAGAAAAAGTTTAGAGAAGAGTGTGTGTTGTTGATAAAATCGTACCCTAATTTTGTTATTACATTTGTTTATGTAGGAAACTAGCTCCTAAAATAGATATTACATATTTTAGCATGTATTAATTTTACCGAGATTTACAATGGTTGCTAAATCATTGATTTTGGTTTATATGTGTTTCTTATTCATCTGTGGAAATTATTCTAGGATTTTCTTCAACAACAATCTTCGAGCTGGCCACTTATCGCTGGTTATATTTCTTCTCCTACAACATCACGTGCGTCGATAGGCTTTGCGCGCATGGGCTAACTATCATCGATTTCGTTGTTGCCAAACTCTCTTTTAGTGAACATTTTGGCCCTACTTATTCAGATCAGTTGGTGAGCCTCGACTTATTGATCTTGGGTATGAGGCGTTCGTCCCATTGGGTGGCGAACTGAACCCCATCATCCACTACCCTTTATTCTCTACCTAAACTAATGAATTGGGTCGCTGGGCAATAAGTAGCGTAGTGATCTCGTCCGCTCATTTTTTCCTCGAAAACAAGCATATTTTCGCCTCACATCATCACGATTACTCTTCTCGATTGTCGTCGTTGGTCCATAGGTTTCTACTCACAAAAGAAGAATAAAGTTTAGTAGCATTTCCCATTGAGCCCATCTACTTTTGATAGTTTGGGCCCTTAACAGTTGGGCTTTTGCAACCATCTAATAACAGACAATGTGGACTTGAACAAACCCGATAACTAGTAAAAAAACACAGCACGAAAAATATTTTTAACCACGCAGTGAAAAGTAAAAACGAAACGCAATGATTGAAGGTAGCTTCACAATGTGTTATTGGTCCAGTACACCACGATTGGATGGCCGTCTAAACTAACGACACGTGGTGTCCACCACGACGGCTGCATCGGAGCCCACGTGGACGCGACACAAAGCCGGCGAATCAAAACGACAGCAACAACACTTTTTTATATATATAATATAATATAATATAATATATAATTTTGACATATTTATTATTCAAAATAAGACGCAAGCCGCCGTGAAGCCTCCTCTCTTACCGACAATATTGCAAGAATATATATTCCGGTGGGCCCCGCTTTGATTCTCTATATCTCAAAACATGCCACGTACCCATTGTGACCCCTCCATTTTCAACATTTTCGGCACCACCAATTATCAATTTGTCGTCTTCTTTTTTTCTTTTAATTTCAACCCGATATAAAAATAAATAAAGAGAGAGTAAGAAAGAACCTATTAATCTAGGAGCACCTACCAATTATTATTTTCTTATTCATACTTGAATTATTATTTAAGGATCAAATTCAAAGAGGGCAACACCTAGGATATGATCATTACACTATTTGTACACACAAGGAAATAATGCCTAGAGGAAAAATAATTATTGTAGCAAAAGATTAAACAAAAATATAGCCACCACTTTTTTCGTTAAAGAGCAATATATAATTGCAATATTCTCGCACGAGCATAGCCCAACTGGTTGAGGCTGTGGTAAGTTATTGCAATGTCCAACAATCCAATACATGTAGCTACATTATGAGTATTTCAACATCAATGATGGTTTGTTCATAGTAGAAACCAGATCCAAATACACTAATTTAATGGGCCGTTGAGTAACATGATTACGTTTCTCCTTAAAATTCAATCGAGCCACGAGGTGGGGCCCGAGTATTTCTCCATTGGTACAAGTAAATCCCATATTATGATTTATTTAAATTGTAGTGCAATTAAATATATACATCAATTCTAGTTGGAATTAAGTAGGAAACTTATCTCACTAGATTGATTGATTGGTAATAATTACAAAGCAAAGCAAATGAGAGTGTTTGGTGAGGAAGCAAATAGAAAAGGAGGCTCATAAATAAACTCCAATTGAAGCCCACACATAATTGATGTATTGATGTGGATTGTGGACCATGTGGTCCACAATCGTAGCTAGGGTGTATTATTTAAGTTGACCGTATTGACCCTCATTTTTTAAGTTAGATAGATTTAAATTTTATATACATAGGCTAGGGTGTATTATTTTAATTCAACCCGTGAATTGTTGTATTTTAATGCTATATATATATATATATAATATCTACTCGCTAGAATTTTATTAATAATTGAATTTGACACAATTGAATAATATTTGGACAAAAAAAAATTAATAAATAAGAGCAAGAATGAATAATAAAAAATTAAAAGAGAGAGAGAAAGTGACGTAATATATAAATTATAAAATAATTGGAATAAGTGGTGTTTGAAATGACGGCAGGGTTAGATATATAGCTAGATTGCTATATTATATCTATTTACAATACATTACAAAGGAAAGGAAGTGGCAGCGGTTGCTGAAAAGTCTGAAAGATTCTTAGACTTTTCTTCTGTGTGGCTGCTGCTGACGCTTTATTAGGTATGCTTATTTCTTTTTTTATTTTCTTTTAATTCTTTTTAAATATATTTAGAGAGAGATTATATTATATTTTATATTATATTTTTATATATAGAGAGAGAGAAGTGGGGAGTTGCGTGTATTATTTACACAACAATTTCACAGCAGCTGACCACATGTCATTACTCGGAATTTCTGACATTTTCCATTTTCCCATTTCTTAATTATCTCACTTTTTTTTTTCTTTTTGTTTATACTAAAGTACGTGGTCCCAATTATTAAGATATGATTAATTAAGCTAAATGAATCTCAATTAGATTGTCTTTTGAAATTCCACCCTCAATTGGAGGATTTAGATTAAGAATATGTCTTCATTAAAGTGTCCTTTTGAATTTGTACGAGACATGCACTTTCATTAGGGTGAAAATCGAACATATCGGATTAAAATTAGCACTTTCAAAAAATTTACTTTTCTTTCTCAACAGTAAAAAAATAATTTCAATTCCAGATTTGAATTTCAGAAATTTAAAATAGTTTTTTTTTTATATAAATGAATATTCTCGGACAAAAAATTGTACCTCGGTTTTTTTCTTTTTAGCCACTTAATATAAATAAGTAAATAACTAACCTTCCCCACTTATATTTAGTGCATTTGGGTCCAATTGATAGTTGTGGGCCAAATTGGATTTTGGGTCCATTAAATTAGATACCTGATTAAATATTTATTTTGGAGTATTTTTATATCAAGCGTAATGTGTTTGACTGTTTTTGTATTAACTTAAAAATTTGAATAATTAACGAAAAATAAATATATTCTTTTCAAATCTAATACAACATGAAACGGCACTGATTAGGCAAAACAACAGGATTAGGGATTAAATTAATTTTCATAGAAACGGTAATAAGACCGACAGATTCCGAGGTGACAGAGAAAGGACGACAACGACCCCAAAGCCGGCACATGATGACCCACGCGCCCACAACTCCACCCACTCCCAATCGCCGGCCCCCCGGGGGTGGGGACCTTAAATATGACGTCTTCAATTCTCCCTCCTAACTTTATCCATTTCCAATTAACACCACCAAATTCTGGGCAAAAGTCAATTTGGTCCCCCACTATACACAAATGTTTTTTACACGTATGATATTTCTTTCGAGCCATAATATTCTTCGTTATCACGACTTTTTAATATGTAAATTACAAACAATTAAACCCTTGCTATTTAATTCCAATCATGAAGTTTTAAAAAAATTAGAAACATACTACTCTATCCGTACCAAATAATTGTCACTTTTTACTTTTCACAAATATTAAGACACTCAATAAATATATCTTGATTTTATAAAATCATATAAAAATGACTAAAACAACATTTAATATTTAATGATTTATAAGAGAAAATTAATGAATAAAGTTTCATTAATAAGATTAAAACAAGAAAAATGCATTTAATACAGTATTGGAAATCTAAAATGACAGAAAATATGGAACAAAAATATTTTAAAAAAGAGACAGTTATAGTGGAACAGAGGGCGTAGTATATAACATTAGCTTCTGAAATTAACAAAATAAAGCTATAATTAAACATCCAATTTTATGTAAAATTAGAGCAAATGTAATATAAAGTAGGTGATTAACTAATTAGTAGTAGATAGGTTTGGTGTTTGGGCCATCTTTCATGACTCAATATATACAATAATTAATGGTCCTATTAGGATCGTGCAAAGAGGTCCAAATTGACGGAACTGAATCGAAATGAAAATTCGAAACATGCCAAGTACCGTACTAGTAATTCGATTAAGTATTAAACAAATTTTAATATTAATTCCGGTATTTTCAATATTTACAAATTAGCTTCTATTGTTGATCTTTTTTTAAGGCCAAGTACTCAATTTGAATGTCAAACTCAAGAATTAATTAGTTTTATTTTATTTGCTTACGTTTTTTAAATAAGAAAATATATTTTTTTATTTTATTGGTAGCTAACCGAAAAAATCGAATTAATTCGGTAAATATAATTTACTTTACCGAATCGAATAGTTCGATTCGATAAACAGTAAAAAAAAATTGACGTGCCTAATGAACAACCCTACAAATAGGTATATGAACATAGTTTTGATATTTACCCATTTGTTATTAAAAAAATACAGGTGAATATCTTTTTTAGTACATAAATAACTAATTATTGAGAATAATCTTTTGAAAATAAAAACCGTTAAATACCAATACAAAATATGTCTAACGAGATTAAGATGTACCTACAGAGCAGTAAAATTGAATTTATAAATATCAAACACACATTTTAGTGAAAATTGAGTTCCATTCCATAACACTTAAATATTTACATCATTTATTTTTATTAATAATGCAATGTGGAAGGTGACCACCACCACCGAGTCTCAAAGCGCCATCAGATCTGGAGACAATCACAGAATTTGCCACCCGATGAAGCAAATGGCAATCAGGTAATTTAATGGTCAAATCAGGGCATTTAAACAGAATAGCTCAAAACCCACGTGAAAACCTGACCATCATCTGTCCAAAGAAAATCCAACCGCAATGAATATACTGTTTTTTTATTTAAATTTCTTTTTCTTTTTCTTTCTAAATACAAAAAATTATCGTATGCCTGTAAAAGCAAGGAGAACCTTGTACTATTTAATCCTCAGAACGGAAATTTGCAATTAAACCCCCCATTAATTTATTATTATGCCCACACGTTTGCTTTTCTCATCTTTTGCCATCACTGTAACTTATTTATACTTTACTTAAATCCCCCTTTTCCTTTTTTTTTCCTTTCCAACAGCTTTTTTCAAACACCAAACAAATTTATGTCGGCGTGTGAGCCACCAAATTAAATTATTTCAGATCCAAGTATTAAATTAATTATCACGGATTAATTAAATTAAATTAAATACTTATCTTCATTAATGGTGTTCATTAAACAGCTTAATCCACTTAATTAATTAAAAATCAATGCATGATGAATTTACGCCATTGATTGAAATAAAAGGATGGGTCTCGTGATCATAGATAATTAAAACCTCGGAATACAAATATGTACAGACGATGAGAATATATATTTTTTTTTAAGGAAATGCTAAAATGCGCCGTAACCTAGGGTTACCACACCCAGATGAGAGTGAAATGACAAAAATGGGTCTACATCCATACAGGTGGAGGCTCGTTCAAGTCTATGGGCAGCCCACGCCTAACAATCCCAAAAAACATCGCCGGCGGGTTGATTTCCGCCGCCGTTGGCCCGATTGTCGCCGCCGCCTGGGCGTCATTGCCCTGGGAGCTCACATCCTTGAGGACTCCGGTGTGGAGGAAGTCGTGGATCATGACTCTGCCGGACGGCGCAATCCAGCGGTGATCGGAGGGGAGGTTGAGATCCAGAGAGAGTCCCGACGGCGCCGCCGGAAAGTTTGTCTTGGCCTTGGCTCCGCGGAGGGACCTGGCGGCGCCGTCGTAAGCTAACGCCGCCTCCTCAGGGGTGTCGAAGGTGCCTAACCAAACACGCGTCTTCTTCCACGGATCGCGTATCTCCGCCGCGTAACGGCCCCACGGACGCTTCCTCACACCCCTGTAGTGGCCCTCGCGCGTGGACGCCATTGAAGAGAGAGAAGATATTCTAGAGAGAGAAAACGCAATTGGTGGTCTGATAGAGAGAGAGAGAATAGCTTTTGCGGTGCTATAAAAAAGAGGAGAGAGGGTGGGCGTGTGTATTTATTTGTGTTTGTAAAAAAGTGGGGGGGCCCACAGAGTCTCCCGTAATCGTCGGCTGGACGGCATGAACCGCTTAAATAAACAACAGCGAGTTATTTATTGTGTGCGACTGCAGTGCAGGCCTTTGGCGTGCGCCTTCGCCGTTTGATTTCCGTTTCATAAATCTCATTTTTTAGATCCAATTCCACACGCAACCAATTTATTTCCATCCTAATTTGGGAATTCGAATTTAATGTTACTGGGTCGTGGGGTTTTTCTGTTTCTCTTTATTTGTTGCCAAATAATTTAATTTTCAAATTTTATTGCATCAAGATTTAGTATAAAAATCAAAATAATAATAATTCATGAAAATAGCTCAAGCACCATGATTGAATGTATTTGTACAGATAATTATTACAACAGGTGACTAGTCAAACAGTAAAAAGAGAGGGAAATTATTAAATTAAAAAAAAAAAAAAAAAAACGGTGTGAGTGTGTGAATGTGTGTGGTTGGAGGAGGCAGGGAGGAGGCGCCGCCTGATAAGACGTGTCGCGGCCTTGGGGGCGTTGCATTTTGTCATGTGACTCTTCCGACACGTCCTCATTTGCTTACGTAAGCCCTTACCCTACTTGTACGGCGCACCTCAGCGGCGCCTCCACCCTTTTCCTCCCTTTTTAATTTATTTCTTCTTACTTTATTACATATATATATATATATATATGTATATTTTATTCTTGAGTGGATTATGTTGCTATCTAAAGTACGATAAATTAACTGGATTCTTAAATTGTGTTACTCTATAATAGTCTAGAATGTGTTTCTCTTTCTATTTTATTGCTTTGGATGTTGAAATAATTAAAAGTGTAATTGACTATGTGGGCGGCTTTTATGTGTTAGGTTAATTCAAACCCTATCATGTAATTATTTATATATAAAGTATTATGATGCGATCTCAAAAGTATCGACAGTGTTTTCTACGCAATTTGCAAGAAAAGACTAAGAAAAGAGTTTTATTATTCTGCATATTCCAAATAACGTAGGGTTTGAGCCCTTAAATAACCAAACGACCTAATTACCTAATATGACTCTAACTCTCCTAACCTAATCCAAACTAAGTTTACGGCTGCACAAATGACTTGTTACTCAATTAACTATGAAAACTAGGACTCTTTAACTTATAAAGCAAACCTAAACACGCCTATACTAACCTAACTATAATACTATATTTAATTAATAAGAAAATATCAACTAATCTAATAATTAAATAATATATCGCAACAATCCACCCCCGTTGAAATAAACCTTGTCCTCAAGGTTTGACCGAAAAATTGCATATTTGTTTTACGCCTCCATCTATGCTTGATCTGATCGATGGTGAAGACAAATGTAGAAGAACACAGATCACCCAAGCCAATATGTATATTCACAAGTTGAAGCTCACAAACAATTCCAATTGCTTTTCTCTTTGCCGTACATGCCTTATTTTGTCTAAAGAAATTTTCATGACATTTTACCATACTTATAGTGCTACTGACTAAAGGTCCCTTTCTTATTCCAATTGATATCCCCCCACTTTTGGAAATACCTTCTGCACCTTCACGCTCGTCCTTGATTGTCAACATATCAATTTTTTTAATTGCCTTTTCAGATTTTATCTCCTTCATAATTATCAACACTCCTTCGTCTTCTTTGTTTTGAACATCATGGAATTCTTCTAATATCCATAGTGATTCTTCTTTCTCCTTCTTCGTTAGTTTCTCGTCCTTGTCCCAAATTATCTCAGTTGAATCCGATAATTCTTCCTTTGCAGCACTAACGAAAATTTGATCATCGTCGTCTTCATCTCCCTCTAGCGGTAGATTCGGCAGCAGCGTCGGTGGTGGTGGAGATGGCGGTGGTGGAGGTGGCTCTTCAAAAAAATCATTGTCGTCCTCTTCCTCTTCCTCCGGCGATAGGCTCGGCAGCGGCGGTGGTGGTGATGGCCGCGGCGGTGACGGCCAGCGGTCCCTTCGGCTTTTGTGATGGCGTCGTCCTTGACTTTGTTCGAGCAATTTTTGGAGACCGATCCGTATCTCCTCCACGGATTTTTCCAATCGCTCTAAACGTTTTCTCTCGGACGGCATAATTTCGCAAAGTGTTGATGTAATCTCAACTTTGCTCCAGCTTAGCTTTGATATAATCGCTGCTTTGCTAACGAAGCGTTGGTGTTAATCGCAACTTCGCTCTGATACCAATTGATGCGATCTCTTGAGTATCATAAATATTTCCTACGAAACGTGAGATCTATTCTTCTTTATTATTTCTCTGCATAATCAAAACCCTAGCACAATACGACCATTTAAAGAGAATAAAACCCTAGAATCCTAATCTAACTAGGAAACATAATTACCTATACTAATAAAATACTAAATATCTATCCTAACCTAAACACACGGCTATGTATATAATAAACCTAAACAAACTATTCTAATTAATTAATAATAAAAATACTAACTATCTAATAATTAAACGATATATATTAATATATCGTATCAAACCACCCCTCTTGAAATGAACCTTGTCCTCAAGGTTCAAGTCAATTTGGTCCCTCTTCCTTGCGTTTCCACCTATGTTTGACTTCATCGATTTGTTCATTGACTTGCTTCCGAATTAACTCCAAAAAACACGATAAAAAATCGAGCTCTTTTCGAAAGATAAACCTATCTGCCCGAATTAAATTTCTCAATCTCTTTCCCGACAAATCGACCTTCTCAATTGCCTTTTCAAATTTCATCTCCTTCACAATCAATATCATGCTTTTATTTTTCTCAGTCGTCTTTACAGATCCGGGCTCATTCAAAGTCACCAAATCTTGTTCGTCTCCTTTCTTTTGCACACCATGGAAATCTCCCAATATCCCCTGTAGTTCTTCGTTCTCTTCCTTAGTTAATTCCTCTTCTTCGTCCCAAATTACCTCAAGTGAATCCGATAATTCATCTTTCGGCGAACTCACAAAAAATTGGGGTTCTTCGAAAAAATCATTGTCATCATCTTCCTCTTCCTTTTGCGGTAGGCTTGGCATTGGCGGCGGCAGTGGATCTTCGAAAAAGTCATCGTCGTCCTCTTCCTCCGGCGATAGGCTCGGCAGCGGCAGCGGCGGTGGCGTAGGGGGTGTTTGGCGGCGGTCCCTTCGGCTTTGATGATGGCGTTGACGTCGTCCTTGACTTTGTTCGAGCAATTTCTGAAAACTAATCCGTAATTTCTCTACGGATTTTTCCAGTCGCTCCAACCGTCTTGTTTCTGACATCATGATTTTCACAAAGTTTTGATGTGATCTCAACTTTGCTCCAGCTTAGCTTTGATATAATCGCTGCTTTGCTAACGAAGCGTTGGTGTTATCGCAACTTCGCTCTGATACCAATTGATGCGATCTCAAAAGTATCGACAGTGTTTTCTACGCAATTTGCAAGAAAAGACTAAGAAAAGAGTTTTATTATTCTGCATATTCCAAATAACGTAGGGTTTGAGCCCTTAAATAACCAAACGACCTAATTACCTAATATGACTCTAACTCTCCTAACCTAATCCAAACTAAGTTTACGGCTGCACAAATGACTTGTTACTCAATTAACTATGAAAACTAGGACTCTTTAACTTATAAAGCAAACCTAAACACGCCTATACTAACCTAACTATAATACTATATTTAATTAATAAGAAAATATCAACTAATCTAATAATTAAATAATATATCGCAACATATTATTTGTAAATACTATTTAAATAGAGATAGATAATGCGTCAACATTTTTCTATGCTTGAACAACGCCGTGCTAGCTGGGTGTTTGTTGTGTCAATTGATTGTATATTTTTTTTTTTTTTTTTAATACTTTTTCTTGTTTGGCTTCATTCCTTGGATGATGCAAAATTAATTTGATGTTGATATTTATTATTTAGTGTATATCATAACCAGGTTTTTCCTACTTTTATATTTTGGAAGCTTGGATAAAATAATGTTTATCCAAAAATTAATAATGCTAAAATCTGTATTCAACTGTGGATTTAATTAGCCTATTGGTTTTGTTTTCAATTTTATTTTGGCTGCGGCTATATGCAATACTCATTCCACTTGTGCAAGACCAAATTAAAGAAAGATTCCAAAATATTCTATTTTATTAAGATGGAATGACAAGTATGCTCATAAATTAAATTGGCTTTTTTTTTTTCTCATGTAAGACCAAATACAAATAATGAGAAAAAAACAAAAATCGACACCAAGGTGTCGAAAAACTATGCTACAAATCGACACTTAAGCGTCAAATTTCATAGGTAATCGACATTGACATGTCGAATTTGTAGCACAAATTCAAATGTCAAATTTTATACCTAAAAATCGACATCTAAATGTCGAATTTTATACATCAAATTCGACATCTAAATGTCGATTTTTACCTGTAAAATTCGACCTGTACATGTCGAATTCGTTTGCGCGGGATTTTTTTTGGAAAATCGATATTCTAGCTAAAAAAACCCATAAATGCATACATTCTTGGGTTCTTCCATAGTAGAATCTTCTATTTTGATGTCTTCTGACTCCATACTTGCCATCTTTGTAAGATTTGTTGAGTTTTGATGATTTTGAATTTCTAGGTTTTGTGGGTTAATGGAGGAGGAATGAGAAAGGTCTTGTGAGTTTTGGAAGATGGAGAAGATGATAGTTGGTCTTGTGGTTTTGTGGTCTTGTGATAGGGTTTTTTGTGTTTTTGAATTTTTGGTCTTGCATATTTGGAATTTTTTATTTTTTTAATAAATAAGGGTATTATAGTATTTATACATTGAAAATTTTAATTTGGTCTTGCACAAGTGGAATTAGTCTTGCATATAGTCGGAGCCTTTTATTTTTTGTTCACGGTGCAAAATACTAAATCGAAATACTATTGACAAATATTTCGCTTCATTTCAATTTCAGTTTTACATTTTTCCCCTAAATGAATTAGTGTTTGTCAAGTTTAAAACAAATTAAAAAAATAATATAATGATTTCAACGGTTTATCTCTCCACCTGATATGATTAGATTGGTACAAGTAAATAAAATAACTACTACATTAAGAAAAATGTTTTTACTAAAATATTAACAATATCATTATATTTTATAAATTTTGCTTAACATTATAAACAAATACTTTAATTCTCAAATTATTCGCCCAACTTACATTTGAAAGACGAAAAAAAAAAAAAAAAAACTCCTAAAATGAATCGAAACATCAATCCAGAAAATCGAAATATCTAGTGGTGAAATATATTTTCTCACAGTAAATAAGTTATGATATGCAGTGAATATTGTGAGGGTAAAAATGACGTGGCAGAAACTAAAGGTGAAACAAAATTACTTATTTGGACAGTGGATTTGAGGTGGATGACAGAAGTTTGTTTGTTGCGGTGGGGGGGGGGGGGGGGGGGGCCCCCCCCGCATTTTTAAATAAATATTCCTATTTGGAATTATATATTATCACATATTTCCAACATCTACAGTTAATGCCGTCAAATAGTTACACCACTATGTTTTAGAATATGATTAAATTAATTTATTCTGTGTAATTATTTTTTTGAATACATTAATTGTGGTCCTTAGATACTGTTTATTTCAATTTTGTAAGGAAATATACAAATAAATCAGAAATTTGAAATAAATTTGAGTGTTTTGAAAAAAACATAATAATAAAAAAATAATGAAATAAATTTGAGTGTTTTATAAAAAAAAAAAAAAAAAAAAGAATAAAGTAAAAGCAGTGGGGGGATAGATATAGAGAGAGGGAATGGTGGTGTCAGGTTGGCACGTGGGGGAGGGGAAGCATTACGTGGTGTCCGAGTTGAAGGAGACAGCCCAGTTTGCCTCGGGTTACTCAAACTCACCCGAATTATCATTTTTTAACATATTGGGTCAAATCGTCCTTCTGACTTGACCCGCTAACCTAACCCGCTACTTTATTATTTATTACCGTTCCTTTTTTTATTTTTCTTTTTCGTTTCTGTATTCAAATCTAAAGTCGGAAGAAAGTTAAATTTAGTGAGGAAAAAGTGATGACGTAGGTTTGAGTGTTGTGTGGGAGTTTTGCTGCTGCGGCAGATTTATTTTTTATTTTTTAATTATAATTTATTATTTTTTTCAGATTTATAAATATTTGGGCAAATTACGTCCAACCCCTAAGCTATGCTCAAATTACGAAAAACCCCCTCTTGTACGGCCACCCCTCAACTACGTATTTATCTTACGAAAAGACCCCTCCACAGGTAAATTTAGGGATGCTAATTCAGTAAAACTGGACCAAAATTTCGGTACGCCAACATTTCATACCGTTTACCCAACTAAATATATGATTTGGTTCAGTAAATAACCGAATTACATAAATTTTACGTACAAATATTTAAAAGGAGGGGGTGGCTGTAATTATCCAAACAAGAGGGGTTTTTTCGTAATTTAACCATACATCAGGGGTGGCCGTAATTTGCCCTAAATATTTTGACTTTGTGTGTGTGTGTGTGTGAGAGATATCGAGAGGGGTGGTTGATGGATGGAGAGTTTTGGAAGACACGTCTGCCCTCATATGTCTCTATCACTTTGTAATCATCACCTTATACCATTTTTTTTTTAATTTTTGGTTATATATATAGAAATATTATTTAGTATTAAACGTTTTTTTTTTCTTCTAAAAATAAATAAATTTGTTTTGTCTTCTTACAGGGCTTTGGGAAGCCCTACAATTAAGGCATGTATTGTCTATCATGAAGTTGGGCCAGCTATCGATTTATCGGGCCTAATTTTCTAGTATCAATTTATGAGGCCCGAAAAAAATAATAAGGCCCATTGAGATGTCGCGACGCGACCCAATTAAATTAGAGAAAAATTCAAGTCGAAATCATTCTTATAGGCCCCGGGGATGCAAAACCGCAATCATGCAATTTTCGCCGAACTACGTTCAATATTTTTTCGAATTTGTATTCGTCAGTTTTTGTACCTGCATTTACTTTTTAATAAAAAAATTCCAAAGTTACATGTATGCATTTGATAAATTCGCTTGGGTGCAAATAAGAGAGATAAAGTAATCGGGCCGCAGAGTACGGAAATTACCAACAAAAGTACTAAATAAAAAGAATTAAAATTACACGAATTTATAATTGAACCCAAAAAATAAAATTGCTAACCTGGAGTTATGTTAATCTAAAGTACATGTATGGAAAGACAAGGGAACCTTTTTATATGGATGCAAATGCAATTTGATGATTCAATCAGAGCTATATTTCACTACAACAATATACAACACTTTCTTCTATCAATAATTTATCTTTTCAATTAGGCACAAGAGTGGCTGGCTACCACTTATATCGGAGCCTCAACCACCAAACCAATCAGCTTCTGAGTATCATATAAACCACATGAGGGCATATTTGTCCTTTCACGTACCACTGCGAATCTTCCCCATATTCGAAAAATCATCCACAGAATACGAGATTTCACACCAAAAATCTGTCTTTTTTTATTTAAATAATTTAGGCAAGTAAGCTAGGCCCGTTTTCAGCTGCTGTCCGTGCATGTTCGTTTCCATGATGTCTCGCCATTTGTACATCTCGATTAAAATGCGTCCTAGCTTTCGCATATGGAGCATCTCTCGCTAACCCAAAAAAAAAATTTAAATTAAATAAATAAATAAATAAGACGAAGATCAGAACAATAATACTATCATATATTAAGATAATTTTAATAGTGTCTTCATATTTCATGTATTCGTGATTTTTTCCAGAGAAATAAGACAAACCCGCAATTTTTTGAGTTCGAAGGATATTTTGCCTTCTTTTCCACCAACATGTCAAGCATGTGACAATAAGTAGAAGTGCCACACAAGATCCTAGCCCAATTCCGATTTTAGCCCCGGTAGAAAGATGTGGCCCACATGCTGGTAATCCAGGTATGCCGCAAAGACCTGCATTATCAGTAAAACTGCAAGTTTTCCACAGAAAAGAAAATGTTAATTATGCATAATAAGTGAATCACATGAATAATTAATAACAATGTTAAAAAGAAAAGGATAGATATAAAACATACTTGAAGCTAGCTCCATACAAGAGCCTTCCACCAAGTGCAGCTGGAACTCTTCCCGATAAAGAGTTTCCGTTTAGGTCCCTGTGTGAGAAGAGCGTAAACTTCAGTCAAGGTCAAACTATTTTCATTTCAGAGGTGAATAATAAGATGTTGAAGTTTCTTACAATATTCGTAGTGAGGACAGCTGTCCGAGGCTTTCGGGAATAGATCCATTCAAGGAGTTGAATGAGAGATCCCTGTTATTATTCCAAACCTTAATTCAGTATTTGTTTAACGAATGAAACGAGGCAATATATGTTATTACATCGAGGCAAAATATGTTCGCATCTTTAATTACGTAAACTTTACTCACAGTATCTCCAGGCTAGTTACTGTTCCAAGTGAAGAAGGAATGACCCCCGAAATGCTGTTCCCACTCAAATTTCTGTGGAGAAAAACACGAGAGGAACTTTTTTATTGAAGATAAATTGCAATATATTATATATTTATATTTAATTAAGGCATTCAGATTAATTTGATGATTGAAGAAAATGCTCATATGCATAGGAGAAAGAAAAAAAATACTTGTTTGAAATTGTTCATTCTGAGATGTATAAAAGGATCAGCTTCATATTGACTTACATGCTCTGGAGATGATGAAGCCGGGATATATCGTTTGGTAGGAAACCTTTCAAACCCTGGTTGTCGAGACCTCTGCCCTCACAAATGTAAGTAAAAGAATTAGAATCATATTACACATGTCACTAGAAAGTACAACTTAAAAAAACCCAACACGAAAATCTTTGAAGTGATAGTATCTACGAATCAAATAATTTCAGCATTATTCTTTGCCAGTACCCGCCATCTGAACAAATAAGCAAAATAACCCTTTTCTTTATAACCATTGGATTCATTTTATTGGTCGTTTGTCATCTAAAAAAACAAATCAAATTTGCATCCAATTGGTGAGTAAGTTGATTCAGCCAGTTTAACAGTTGTGATATTCTGTTGCAGTAGTAATTTATATACACTTGCTTATAGAAGACTTGGTAGAGATGAAGCTACTCACAATCCATCAATAACATATTTACTGATATTCCTGTTGTACCGACAGTCTACTCCACTCCATGGATGCTGCTCGGGAACGCACGGATCACCATTCCACCCCAAACGAACAGGAAGACCAAGTGCGCCCTTCAATTTTTGCAAAGCCTTAACTACATTAAAACAAAAAATAATCAACAATCACAAATAGGAGTAGATGCCAGAGAAAACGAACTGCAATAGATAAAGAGCTCTTTGATTCAGAGTGCATGCCGTTCAAGATTCAAATATAGGCATGCAGGTAGAGTATGACATACCGTCTTGGCCGTTTTTATTTTTCTTTTTTTCTATCTAAAAATGGTACATGCACACATCATCTTACACAGATTAAAATTTAGCATTGGATGTAACAAATAATGCTCGATAACATTACTCCACTCTACAACTCGATGGTACAGCTACATTTCACTTATAGATGACATTTTCATTCTTTCAAGGCTAAAACATTATACTAGAATGAGGTCCAATGCTTCTTTCTTACATGCAATCTCGCTCAAGCTAGAAAAGATAATGTATTCAGACGCCTACCATAAACAAAATTCATGTTAAATCTAATGTTTGAAAAATCTGACTTTGGCTTACTTTCATCTGGCAATGTTTTGGATTCAGCCGAAATAAGCTCCAAAAGCTCAATTGCACTGATTATGGCATGATTCCCTTTCGTAGGATGCAACGTTATAGTCAAACTCCTGCCATTAACAGCAACAGTCGTATTCAACACGAGAGCAGTGTTCACATCCCCAGCCATACCCACAATATCAACATCTCGAAACTTAACATCACCATTAATCAAGACATCAAACACCCTCTCCCCTGCTCCAGTCACCGCAGGATCTATTTCCGCAAAGTGCAGCCAAAGCGAGTAATTCCTCGTCGGTTCAACTTCCATAGTGTACGCCAAATCAGGCTGAGTATCAGTACTAACAAGAGCCGTTTGATACAAAGCCTCCGGATAAAAATTAGGCGATACAGATGCCTTTTTGATTCCATTCTTCGTAGATACCACAAGATCAGAACTCTGACCGAAAGTGGGGAGTGCATCCCAGAATCTGTCCCCACCCCAATGGTTCGCACTGTAATCCGCCCCGAATTTCGGATCGCGGGCCCCACAGCTGAGCCTCCTATCTGTTCTAAGAATTGTTCCTTGACCGTAGCCTTTACCGTAGTAGTAAGCCTTGTTGTCAATCTGGAGAATTTCGATAGCAAGAATGGCTGGATCTCCATGCCCTGTGCTGTGGAAGCAAATAGAGGCCGTTCCATCTTTGAGAACTATAAGCGCCTCCGCAAACACTTGCTCGTTGTCATGGTTGCTCCACCCAGAGGGGAGTGAGTAAATTAAGGTTCCTTCAACCGAGACATCGAACAGAGGCTCGTTGTCGAAGTTCGACTCGTTGACTAAGCCGAAGTAGATTCGAACAAGATAGTGGCCGTGCGGGACCCGGTTTATGTTGTAGCAGTTTTCCGGACCCTCGGATAGAGGGAAGTAACGGAGGGTGTCGAGCGAAGGGGATATGAAACTTGGGCGGGTCGCGCTGTAGGGGATTCCTCCTGTGTAATACGAGTCCTTGTACCAGAGAGTGTTTGATGGAGGACTGTGAACGTCATCACGGGCCCCACAGCTTATTCGCAATACATACGGTGCTGCAGAGAATACAAAACAATGGAAATGTAAAGAAACAATGGTGGATCAGATAATCAACTGTTGTTTGTTCTATCTCTTACTGTTCTTCCCTATTTTGACACCATGAATAGAAATCAGAATCAAATTTTGCATACTTGTTCTGAAATATTGTAAAACCCCAAACAAATGATAAATCTCCCAAATTAAAACAACACAAGAATTGAAAGAAGTCACCCAAGTCAAATCTAGCATAACCCAATCGAACAGTTCACTCTGTATATACAATCAAAGCCGAGAAACTGCCCATTTAATCACATTATATTCATATCCTTCACCATAAAACCGAAATAGATCCACTAAACTAATCAACAAACTAAATATGCACAATTTGTGTGTGTGTGTGAGAGTGTGTGCGCGTGAGTGTGTGTGTGTGTGTGTGTGTAATTGTGCGTGTGTGAGAGAGAGAGAGGGACCTCGAGAAAATGAAGGTCTGGGAGCGAAGAACAAAGCAAGTAAAAGCAACAGCAGCCGAGATTCCAGCATTGAAGCTCAGATTTGGTAAAATCTGAAGTTGCTTGTGCTGTATCTGAAGTTACTTTTTCCGAAGCTTGAATTGAAAGAGGCGAAAACACAACTAACATTCCATTTTTGGATCTTCTACTGATTGAGGGCGGAGAGGATCTTCAATTCTCGAGTTCAGATGAATAATATTTGGGAAAACGAAGCTTATTTTGTGTGTGGGACGTGCTGTGCAGCTACAACAAACAGTTGAAGTTTTATTCTTTAGTTTAGTTCACGGTATATTTTACTCGTCTCTTCAGTTTTCAGGCTTTTTTGGTAAATTACGTCCAACTTGAGGTAATGTCAAATTACGAAAGAACCCCTCATATTGAAGAATTTTCTTATCCAATCTATCTGTTGTAAATTTTCTTATACGTTGATGGTGTCAAATTCAACAAAAAAAATTTAGATCGTTTTGTGTAAAAATGCAGGATTTGATGCACCACAGTTTGATAGTTATAAGTCAAACTGGAGTTCGAATGGGGTAAAATTGATACAAACTGAAAAATATTCTACATAATCTAGAATATTCTACTAAATTTGACACCACATAGACGTGTAAGAAAAATTCATAATTGAAGATTAATTGTAATTAACAATAAAATAAAATAAAATAAAAAAGGTTACCGTAAAATCAATATAGATCGAACTTAGTAACTTAGATTTAGTTTATCATTTTTCTAATAATAGCCTAATAACCTTCTAGCCCCAGTTCACTTTGACTCGTTGACAAAGAAGAAAAAGTTAGTTAACTTTTATATAACTGATCTGACGGTTGATATAGTTCCGATCTCTTATATATATTTTTTAAAATTTTTTTGGGTTAGATTTAGATGTTGACCCTTCAATCGTAGTCAAGCCACGTAAGCAAGAGAAAAGAATTACATGAATTAATGCGCAATCAACGAGACCCGGAAACCGGAATCAAGGCCCGTATACGGTATATCAGACTTGTCGGGTTGGATCCATTTTCAAATTAAACGGGCCATTGGTGATCGTTATGGGCCGTTGACACTTCTGACTAGTCACTAGTCATGGACTTATCTCTTAGACTAAATTCAACGGTTCAGCCCATTATAGAACAAACTCAAAACAAAAGGAGTTTTTTATTTAAATTAAATTAAATAAATGATGGCATAGGTTTTATCTTACATAGTATCACATGTTTGGAGCTGGATTCTGAATTATTTATTTATTGGTATATGTATCGTGTTTTGGTTTTAATGGAGTACAAGTAATTAACTATGTCCGTACAATTTAATCGACACAATAAAACACGTGTTGATCGATGGAGTATTTAAAGTACGACATTATCAAGTACGATAACTGCCAAACAACGGACAATTTCTTTTCATATTGTGCTTTAATTTTAATGGAATATTAATAATTAATTATATTTGCACAGTTCAATCGTCACGATCAAACACGTGTTGATCTGCAAAAGTAGTTATAACTCGATAACTATGAATCCGCGAACACTATTTATCGTATTTGGAGCTGATTTTTGGATTCACGTGGCGTTGACTAAAAATAATTAATTATGCCGTACAATTCAGTCGTAACGATAAAACACGTGTTGAGCAATAAAAATACTTAAAGTACGATAACTACCAACTAACAAACATGTTCTTTTCGTATCTAGAACCGGATCCAAGTCGGTATTCGTGTTTTAATTTTAGTCCAATGTAACTAACTAATTATATCCGTACAATTCGATCGTGACAATAAAACACGTGTTGATCAATAAAGTACTTAAACTACGATGATATCTAGTACGATAACCGTCAACCAACGGACAAATTCTTTTCATACTTAGTTACTATATTTGGAATTTATTTTGATCAACAATTATTAACATTTGTTGGTATCATTTCATTTGTTTTAAAATTCCAATATTCCAATAAATGATTTTTATTTATTTTTTGTAAAATATGCTACTAAAGTGTAGACAAATTGTAAGAAAATCAAGTCCAAAGTGTAAAAGCAGGTGTGTGTGTGTGTGTGTGCCCCCCAATGGTAGTATAAATATACGGGATCCGACAGGTGGGCTGTGTCACAATCAGCCACACTCTCTCTCTCAACACAATCAGCAAAAAAAGGCAGCCGTTTCAGCTTCTTCGTCAGAGATAGACCTAATGGCCTCACACGCCGCAGCGGCGCCTCCCCCATCGCCTAAACCCTCGCTCTCGGATAACGATTACGGCAGCGACGAGTACGAGGAAATTGAGGAGGAAATCGAAGTGGAAGAGGAGGTGGAGGTCGAAGAAGAAATCGATAGCGATGAAATTGAAGAGGACTCCACACCGGTCGAAGAGAATCCAGATGACGGCAAGTTTTATTTTACCCTTGATTTCGTTTTGATTTTTTGTTTTTTGTTTTTTGTTTTTTGATTTTTATGATTGTTTGGATACGAATCGTGTTTAATTGCCATGGATAACTTGAATTTTATGTTGTTAAATTGCATGTGTGCTGATTATTGGGAATGCATTAGTCTGTCTTTCTCGATTTGATCCATTTCAATTTATTATTCAAATGTTCAGGCGATTTGGGCATTTTTTTCGTAAAGGAGTTTCTGAATTAGTGCATTTTACTTGTTTCCTGTGCATTTATTGTGCTGATTTTTCACAGATCTTCAATTGATTTTTAGCCACTTTGCTTAACTGAGTCTTCATTTTTACTATCATCGATTTGGAGACTGGTGCAACATTTGACTTTTGACTTTCTGTGATTCTAATCTGAGAAATGCATCTATGTTCTGAATTACTGTGTATGCATGTAAAGGGACTGTTGTAGCCTTTCCTTGTTTTTACAAAATCACCAACACTTGAAGCCTTTTGTGGTCTTTCTATATTATTCTCCATCCGATCCCGGATTTTTGATTGGATACCACCATGCTTGATTGCTTCTCTGATTTTGTAAGAGTCAAGTGGCAAAAAAGATTTTCTAATATGCGTACTGAATAAAATTCGGAGTGCCTTAAGTTGGGCTTCCACCTCGAAGTCATTAGGGTTCATAGCATTTGCTGAAGTTGTGGCTGTCAATTATGTGACTTGGGTATTAACTATTAACTATTACCTTTTGGCATTTTCGTTTCTATATACTCAGTATTGTTTTCTTGGGGAGGCCGTTTTGATATTATTTAACATTTACGTGTACGCTATTCGTAAAGCTTAATTTAGGTTATCGATAGTTTATTTATTTTTTAACAACTTTTTTCCGAATAGCAGCCGTTTTTATCTCTCTATTTTATGGAAATATTTAGTGAAACCAAAGTGAAATTTGGAAAGCTAATAAATATTTGTACCTACATTTCTCATTAATAAGATAATTTTTTTTATTGATTTCACTTTTTTCTGTTGTTTAAAAAAAAAAAAAAATTAGCCTTATAGACGGCCTACAATCCGACCCCAAAGGAAATCAAACCTTTAACCTAATACTATTCAACCCACCCCAATACCACTCAGGCCAAGTTTTCGCAGTTCTCTTGCTGGTTAATGATTCAACTAATGCATCAATGTGTATCACATGGTACATATTTTATTCTCTTGCAAATAGAAGCGAGCGTAAATAACACGGGAGTTTGTCAACCTTTTGGCAAACTAGCCAAATATTGGGACAACAAATCACCCTTTTCGCAAACTAGCCAAATATAGGGACAAGGAAATAATTCTTGCCCTTATTTACCATATTCCTATCCGAAATGCATTCCTTCTATGACCTACTCATGTGTAACCTCATCTTGTACTTTCTGCGACAGGTCTCCTTTTTTTCTTTTGAAATATAAAGAAATGAATTACTGAATGGGCAGTGGCTTTCTGTTATAATTGGGGCCAAGACAAGCTCGCATTGTCTTTGCGTCAAGGCTGGGTTATCTAATACACATTTGATTAGACCAGCCTCAGAAGTGTGATAAAGAAAACACTTCAAATGTCGTACTGACTTGGAATCTTGACTTTTAAGTTGTTCTGGATCAACTCAGTCTTTTTTTTTCTCTATGGGATAAAAAGAAATGGTATTGCCTTACTATATCGGATTGGTATAATCCATGGTATGAATTACACACTCAAAATTCATATGGGACCATATTTATAATATTTTTACCATTGCATGGTAAAGAAACCATTAGCAGGACACTTCCAGAAAGCAAATTGGTGTACACTTGGACACTTTTCTGCACAAAGCTGGATTGGTTGCCTAACTGAAACAGCATCTATCATAATTCAAAAGGATAGAAAAAAGTATACCTCGTTTCTATTGAATAAATAGTTCGAGAAACAATTTTTACTTTTTGTATTTGTATTAAGCACTGGAGGTACTAACTAATTCTGTAAGACCAGATTACGTTCAAAACTCTTGTCTATCTGAAGGGATTCAAATATCTTTCTGGTGAAATCTGTTTCAAAGTATTTACCTTTCTTTCTCTGCCTTGTAGATACCTATCTATCTATGGAGATTGATGAGGACGAAGAACACATAAACTCAGGTTCTGTAACTCAAGGAATACCTGTTTCAGACCCAAAAACTGATATCATCGCTGAACTGAAAAATTCTGGTGATGTCAAAACTTCCAAGTCAGGTGAGAAAGAAGAGTTGCATGTTAATGGTGAGCACTTATAGTATTTGATTATGTTAAGCGATGAAGGTTAACCTTAAGGAGAGATGCTGAAGATCTCCGTTTGTTTCATATCACATTGTAGTCCTTTATTAGTTAATTTTGTGATTTGATTTTGAGAACCACAAATCTGAACTTATGGTTCTTGCAGGGGAAAGAACCTCCCGAGACACCAATCCAAAGACTCCTTTTCACAACAGTGCTGCAGTGAATCATACAAAAGGATCTCCTTCTGTTGGAGATCTCAAAACTGCAATGGTAATTACTGAAGCCTTTAGGGTGAAGGATAGTGTTATTTTGCCTGTTACGGCAGGAACCAATCAAACTGTTGTAGAAGCTGCGCCTAATGTAATTCCAATGTCAACAAGGTTAAGTTCCTATTCTAATTTCAATAGTCATATATGCATAGTGGTTCTAGTTACAGTAGCAGTTAATTTCAGTATTCCTTTTGCTAGAATAAAGTCCTGATTACAACTAGGTTTCTCAGGTCACATGATGCAAAAATAAGGGTCAGAGATTCTCCTCCTACTGGTGAGCGTGATGGGGGGAACAAAAAACTGAGGATTGCATGTGAATTTTATGCGAAAGGATGGTGCATCAAAGGGAATTCTTGTAGGTTCCTTCATTTGAAGGACGGACCTGATGCTGCGGTACAGAAAATTGATGTCTTGGATAGCGAAGGTAACTTTATTTTTTGGTCTTGAGGCATCTAATCAATGCTATTTTCGGAAGTACGTCTTAACGTTAAGTCTTCGATCTTATGAATAGATGAGCACTTTTTTTTTTGGTTGTGGCAGCATCTTCAAATGCATGTATTCCACCGCAGCAAAGTGGGGAGAACCCAAAACTGAAGAGTGAGACTCAGAAGTTGGTCCAAAGTAAAGATGATAAATTCAGTGCTGGTGGCTCTTTTACATCGCATGACAATCATCATAGACCCAGGATTCCCTCTTTTGAAGAATTCATTAGTAAGAAAAGTGAACTAGTGAAAAATGACAATCTGCTTACAGAATTACCTTATACTCATTCTAGACGGCCTTTATCTTTTGGTTCATCTTCTCGGAACACCAATGCTTCTGGAACCCAGAAGCTTCCGGAAAGAGGACTAGAGCAGCGTGCTTCTGTATCCTCTTCCTTTCACCAAAGCATTTCACTGGTTCCTCATTCTGAACCAGAAAGTCGGTCACGGGACCCTGTTTCTGGGGATACTGTGCCAGCTAAACATAAGACTGAGTTATCTTTTAATAATTGGGAGCCATCTGTTCCTTTCCTCCCTTCACATGATATAACTCGAAATTTACTAGTGAAAGAAAATGTACATAACCCCATAGGCGACAGCATTTCGCAAAAAAATGTTAATTCCGACCAAGGATCATCTATTAAGAACGCAAAGGTGCAGTCAAAAAGTTCTGAAGAAGAGGAGAAGCGTATGAGTTCGGTTAATGTTGTGAAGGTTGATGGATCTATGAAAAGTGATGAAACTGGTCTCGGTGGCAAGAGCGACAGTCAGTTGCAAATTGAGTCAAGGGTTTACAGATGGTTTCAATCTGCACTTGTAGACTTTGTGAAAGAATTGTTGAGCCCAACTTGGGAAAAGCGCCTTCTGAGCAAGGATGCTTATAAATTAATACTGAAGAAGTCCGTTGACAAAATTCTGAGCACTTTGCAAAGCCACCAAATTCCTAACACAGCTGAATCAACTAAGTTGTATCTTTCTGTATCTGAGCCCAAAATTGTTAAGCTTGTTGAGGTTAGTCTATTCACTCACTGGTAGAATACTACCCAGAGTTAATTACATTGCTACTTCTATTATTTGATATCTTGCCATTATAATTGCAGGCATATATCGAGAAACATGGAAAATCATGAGACTGCTGACTGTGTAATCTCTGTACCAGTATCCTCCATTTCTCTCCATCTATCTCTCCAAAAGGGAAGTTTTGAACTTTATTCGTGGGCCCTTATAATTTTATTAAAAAAAAAACTAATGTCGGCTCTAAAACAACGGCTGGTGAACTACAAGCTTTGTGTTTAAGATTTCTTATTTTGTTGATAAAAGTTTAACCCTTTATAGATCTCTACTCTCTGATGTGAATCCCTAGGGAAAATTTCGGTGAATTACTTGCATGAGTTCGCATATATGCATCAACCTGCAATGTTTACATGTTAACTCAATAGAGGTAATTATGTGGTGAATGATGCTGATACAGTATTTGCCTTTGCCTGCATCTTCTTTTTGATAGAAGTTCCTTCGTAAATGGGGATGTGGATGAATGTCAGTTTTGTCTCTAATTCAGCCTAGGGATTATGCCATGGCTTACTTATTAATGACTGACTTGGTGACAATCTTGATTTTTGATGTGAAAGAGTCAGATGGGGCTCATCTAATGTTGTTCACATGTCTTTACGTTAGTGTGTCTTGAGATGTGTGATTTAGGTTCCTAAATCTAGCAGCAGTATATCTTTGGGGGATGATCTGACACAGTCTGGAGTATGAATAACAGTTATGACCTGTAATAATATTCTGACAATTTGAAATCATGAAAAATTCCTAGACGAAGAAGACGACAAAGTTTCGCCTACTATAGCTAGGGCTGTAAATAAGCCAAGTCGGTCTACGAGCTTTGTGAACTAGCTCAACAAAAACTTGAGCTCTAGGTTTAAAAACTTGAGATCGAGCTTCAAAAACTTGAGCTCGAGCACACGAGCTTGACTTTCTTATGAGCTGAGTTTCAGTTCATTTTTCGTTGTTTAAATGCTCACAAGCTGGCTCGTGAGCTTTTTATATTTTTTTAAATATGAATGTATAATAAAATATAAATAATAGTACTTAAATATAAAATATAAATTTGTTTTAGATATTTGAGAAATACGGTTGTCATAATAATAATAATAATAACAATAATAACAATAACAATAACAATAATAATAATAATAATAATAATAATAATAATAATAATAATAATAATAATAATAATAATAATAATAATAATAATAATAATAATAATAATAATAATAATGATAATAATAATAATAATAATAATAATAATAATAATAATAATAATAATAATAATAATAATAATAATAATAATAAAATTTAAAATTATTATTACTTATTATTCTTATTAATAAATATAGAACAAAATATTAATAATAATACTTCAATTTTAAAATTAAACTTGTTAACTGTTAAAAAGGTCATGAGTCAACTCGTGAGACTTAATCGTGAACTGAATCCCTAAACATTTAGAATCGAGCGAGCTCAATTTGAGCTCGAGCTCATGAAAATTTACTCAGGTTCAAGCGAGCTTGAACTGATCACAATTGAGTAATCCTGTAAGAGATATGATGCTTCCTTGCTCTTCAAAGAGAGTCTCTGGGCCATATAAGACATGAGTTGGTCTAGACTGAAAATTGTCTTGTCTTTACAAGTCCATAACATAATATCCTTCTAGTGAGCATACACAAATAGATGAGGATTTCGTGAACATATATAAAGGATGATTGAGGTACAAGAAGCTTATAGATGCATATTAGACATTTAGCTCTGATGTACAGTAAGTTATTATGGAATCCTTCTAATACAACTTAACGAGTAGGGTTGGCAATAGGGCCATGTGAACCGAGCTTTGATAAGCTCAAATTCAAATACCACCCGATTTTACGACTAGAACTTCAAATTCAAACACCACCAGAGTTTAAAGTTGTATGCTCAAACTCGACTCATATTATTTAGGGTATCGGGCTGAAATCGGGCTCAACTCGGGCTTATACCACTAATATATTTCATCATTGAAGAAAAAATTATTGATTACTTAAATACACAAGACTGTTCTGATTTCACACTAGTATATCAATTTCATGCTATAGTCCATAGTATAGAATGTTAAAGTTATTAGAAAACAAAAAGTCTAGGTCATAGGAATTATGGTAAAACTAACTAAATTTCAAATATTCGTAAAATAGCATAAAAACTATTCCTTTTAAAAAAATATGCTATATGAATGTTAAAAAAAAAAAATCTAATGCCTTTGCTAAAAAATACGCTATGTAAATTTATTATGCCTTTGCTCATCATAGAAATATGTTAAAAACATTTTGAAAACATTTAATGCCTTTGCTCATCATAGAAATATTTTAAATGGTCCAAATAAATAAAAAGCAAAAATATTTATTATGTTCAAAAAAGGAATTTCGTGAATTATTTTAACATTTAAGTTTAGAAATAAATTTCAATGGATGAGTGTAAATTTAAATTCTCATTCATCAGCCTAGTGCTTTTGTCAATTAGTGTATTTGTATAAATAATAAATTTGGTAAATATTTAAGTTACTTATTTAATAGGAATTAAATCGGAGTAAGCAAATGGTGAGCTCGAACTATGCTCATAAATTTTATAGGCTTAGTATAGTCTCAAACTCGGTCCGATCTACAATTAACTTGGTTCGACTCAAATAAAGTCAAGTAGAGCCATCGGGCTTCGATTAGACCCAACTCAATTGACAGTCCTATTAGCGAGTATCACATACAAAGATATGTAGCTCCGACGTTCATAATACAATTAATAGCTTGTAAAACTACAGTTGTCTAATTGTTTTGTTCCTCAAATGTTTTAGATACATTCATTGAATCGGAACCTACGATGAGTGTACGAATATGTTGGACTCGCTCAAATATTTAAGCCCAATCCCTCGATTATTGGGGTTAATGATAGTCCAGGGTGGGTTCCTATTTGATGTTATATATTTTCATTTAAATCATTGGGGAACAAACAATTAGACAACTATAAATTCACCAACTATTAATTTATTATGAACCAAGGAGGACTGTAAATTGGTGGTATTTGGTACTCGCTAAGTTGTATTAGAATGGTTAATAATTTAATACATGATCTAAATGTGTATTAGCTTCTCAAGTTTCTCGTACGTAATCAAATCATCTTTGATATATTAGTAAGTACAAAAGATTACTGTCGAATTATGTTTCTGATTTTATTTTAAATATTGGGAATGCTTAATTATGGTAAGTCATATAAGCACAGCTGTTGTTGGCATGCATTTAATTCGTATATAACTGACAGATGTAAGATTTCTGGAGCAGCTATTAAAGATTGATAAAATGTTCTGAATTCTTTCTTGTGAGTAACAGATTTCCTGCTATAAAAGCCAAATCTCAGTAATCTGCCAGATGTAACCTTACCTGGACAAAGCTGGAACATACCAAACAAAGACCTAGCCACAGTTAATTGCAAAACTCAAATGAGTACAAGTGTCGAAAATCATGGAAATGAAGCCTCGCCATTCTCTGCAGTTCCCTCACTGCAATGTTTGCTCTTTGACGCGGGGTGTTGGCTCAAGGCTGCGACAATCTCTACAAGGTGTGGTGAATGATAATAGTTTCTGGCTGAAACTCTTGCTCTTCTTTTTTCCGCTTGCTCTCCTTTTGACTTGTGAATTTGTCTCTCTACTGTTACTTTTGTGCTTTGACTGCTGCTTTATATCTGATCTTTTCTTGCGGCTCGGAATATCTGTCAACAAATTTTCCAAAATTATTTTATTTGGGGCGGGCTGATGTTGATATGTAGAGATTCGGCCGTTGGAGTGCAATTTATCGGGTGATAAATTGTTGTTGAGGTTGGAGCCTCTGAATTCGAAGTCCGTTTCTTGTTTCTGCATTTTGGGGTGTTCTTTTTTCTGTTCTTGAATACATACAAGGCCTGCAAAGGAGAGTGACTCACTTGAGGCGAAATCTGCTGCCATATTGGGGAACATTTTCTTTGCCATACTGGTTTGGATAGTTTTAATGTTTTTTGCAAGGTTTCTTGACCTTTTTATATGTCAGGCTGGGGTTAATAATGACAGTGACAGGATTATATTTATATTCTTCGTTTGGCTTAACGTAAACTTTGTGGTTGTGTGTATGTACTCTCTCTCTCTGAGATCCTGTCTGTCTTTTGTAGAACATATTTTTTTCGTTGTCTAGTTTGAGGATTTTTATGTAAATTAGTTGTGTCTGAAATTGTTGCATTGCATCTTTATTTTTCGATTAAAGTTGTTATTTTGATATTATGATTTATGAATCAATTTTTTATTTTCTTTGAGTGCAGAATGAATCTTGTAAAGACTGTCAAGAATTGGTGTAAAATTGCAGCAGGGATCATCATTGTGGACTAGTTGGAGTTGTGAAACTTAATTGTTGCCGTGGGCGCGTGGCATTGGGATGTTGGAGAGAGAGAGAGATTTGAACTAATTGATGTGTACGAGGTTGAAAGTGTGGGATACTCCGAAGAGTTGCAATTATTGGTGAAGGTGAGTTTAAGGTGGTGTCGTTGTCAGAAGAAAACAGGTTGTAGAAACCGCTTATGTGAGGATGAGTGTTCCAATGCAATTCATTTAGCAAATTTCAGTGGTAACATTCTCCAGTGGGGCCTACATCCCATTGTTTGCAGCCGTCCCTCCTGAAATTTACAACTGCCGGCGGCGAGGAATTGATGACGTCACAGAGGGACAAAGTTAAATGTGTAGTGAGTGCATACATCTGTGATGACGTGTCCTTAAAAGAAAAATATTGAATTGAAAGTTTAAATTTTTGACTGAAAAAGATTAATTGCTTATAAGGGATAATTAGCAAGAACCCCCTCATCTAGGTAAATGAGTTAAGAAAACACCCCCTTCCAAAAATAATTAGAGAAAACCCCCTTACCTAATATTCCACTCAAGTGATATTTTTATAATTCCAAAACTACCCTTAATTGTCTACTATACTCTTTCAAATCCTAATCTTATTTTCTCTTCTCTCCCGTCTCTTCTTTTCCCGTCCATTCTCTTTTTTTTTTTTTTTTCTCCATTTTATACTTTTCTCTCTCAATTCTTAGATTACTCTCTCTTGATCGAAAGATGAAGAACCAACCGGAACGGAACAACGATGCTAATTCCGTTGAAGCCATTGTCGTCGGTGCCGTCTCCTTCGCCATCGTTGACGAAGTCGGGTCGGGGTCGTCGGCGTCAGATCTTAACAAAGTCGGGTCGTCGACGTCGGGTCGGGGTCGTCGTCGGATTTTTGATGGGTGGTGGTTCTGATTTGGTTGGTGGTGCGAGTTGTGATTTTATTTATTTATTTGTAATTAAAAAACCATCATAACTAATAATATCAAAGTAAGGTGATGATGTGTGTTGTGACGGCGGTGTGGTGACGATGGGGATGCAGATTTAGGGTTTTTTGGTGGATTGAACGGATGAAGATGCGTGTAGAGAATTTCGCGCTACCTTAATCGACTATGTACATGTTCATAGTCGATTAAGCTAATCGACTATGCTCTGGTAGTCGATTAAGGTTCATCGACTCCAATTTTTTTTATTTTTTTTAGATTTTTTGTTTATTGCTTTCAATTGTATAAATCATTTATAATATTTGTATATTTTTTTTGTTTTTGTTATACATAGTTGATTTTGTATTTTTTTCGCAGTTGTGATTTGTTATTTTTAGTAGCAGATTCTTAATCGACTATGCTTCACATCATAGTCAATTACTATAACTGATATAAAACAAAAATTAAAAACAAAAAAAAAAATTAAATAATTAAATAATTTCCTTAATCGACTATGAAGCATAGTCGATTAAGGCTAATCGACTATGCTTCATAGTCGATTAAGGAAACTGATACAGAAAAGACGGAAGAAAAAAAACGGAAAAAAAAAAAAAAAAAAAAGTCGCTGAGCGTGACCCAGTGATGATGTGGTGGGTGGGGGCAAAGCTGGAAAGCATAATGCCTGAAAATGGGTGTGGACTTTTCTCAAATGGACTAAAATATTTTGGGCCTCCCTCAATTAAAAGAAATAATGAGGGAGTTTTCTCAAATAGTCCCTTATTATAATTGTATATTAATCTCAATTATAGTAATCAACTTTGGAAAATCAGCTTTTGGATGTTTAAAATTACTATTTCACCCGTGCGTATAGGAATAATTTAAAAAGTAAAAAGAATTTTAGATAAAATAATAGATAACTTTAATATTTGATTTAGATAATATGACATAATATAAAGAAAACAATTATTCCTTTTTAATACACCAAAAATAAAACAAAATAATTGATTAAAAATTATTAGATGTGAAAAATATGATATAAAAAATAAGATATATTATTGGATAATTATATTGATGAGTTACTGAATTATATAATCAAAATATAGTATTTGAAATGGCTGGTTAATTATATATATTGGTGAGTTACTGATTTACAAATGCTATGATTTTCTCACTTCAATACTGGAAAAATTGTTTTTTATTCATTAAAAAAAAATAATAATAATAATTAAGTCAGTTTAAATAACATAATGGCATTTTGGTTGGACCCCAATATTCTCGTACTCTTCTTACCCATAGATAGAAAAAGGACAACCATAGTAAAAAGAAGAAAACCCAACACTTGTACAAAGATCCATCATCTGTAATAACTTTAATTGGGAAATATGGAAACGGAAAAAACCAACTCTCCTTATTTATGTAGCTACAAAAACCAAACAGTTATATTAATTTCTCAACAAACGAAAAAAAGAAAGAAAAAAGAAAAAAAATGGTGCTTCTTGATCAACTTTGGGATGATGTTGTAGCCGGGCCTCAGCCCGAACGTGGCCTCAAACACCTCAAGAAGGTGTATACCAACCCCTTGAGCATCAAAGGTTAGTTTTAATTACCATTTATATATATATACATACATACGTAAGCATGTATGTATGTGCATGGCTTACACGCACACGGACGCGGACACGTGTTTGTGTGTGTTTTGATGAATGTATGTAGATTTTGTGGGAGAGGGTAGCAGCGGTGGTAATAGCAAATACCAGAGGTCACTGTCGATGCCGTCCAGCCCGCCGACGCCCGGAACGCCGACCAACCTGTCGCCGACGGGGGGGCAAAGGGACAACGTGTGGCGGAGTGTGTTCAACCCCGGTAGCAACCTCGCTACCAAGAACGTCGGCTCCGATTACTTCGATAAGCCGCAGGCCAATGCACCTACCGTTTACGATTGGTACTATTTTATATATAGATTAATTAATTTTATCGTTCTTATTGGTTAATTAATTAATTAGTTAATAAAAAATCTGGTGTGCAGGATGTACAGTGGGGAAACTAGGAGCAAGCATCGCTGAAGAACAAGTGTTGGGAATCACGATCACCGATCGATAACATCACCGGTGGTTGTATGTAAATAATGTGTTGTTCCACCTTTCTCAGCGTGTGGATCGGAGATGATCACTGCTGCTGCTTAATGCTTTTAGTTTTATTGTGATTAATAATTGTTTATTGTGTGATTAAGCTATATATATATTTAAATAATAATAATTAAATAGATTTAGTTGGCTTAATTGGCCAACTTCTTGTGAAGATGCTGGCAGTTTTTCTGATCTACTATGGACTCTGTAGATCATCTGTCATGTTATCTTACTAGTATTTTTATAAAATAAACTGTCTGTGAATTATTTATTTTTTAATTACTTATTTAATTTAATGGTTTTTTTTTTGTTTTTGTTTACCATTGTAATAGAGTTACAACCTCGAATAATGGACCTTTCTTAATGAATTTTAGCAATCATAATTCAACGCCCATGTTCAGAAATAAGATCAAATATTAAAAAAAAAATTAATAATAAATAAATAAAAAATCAGATATAAATTCACAAACACACACTACACACTAATGCATCCATATATGATATTGATATGTAAGTTGGCTATGATGCTGAGAGTATATTCAGTTGATGAAGTTAGAGTCCAATATGAATGATGAAAAATATTTTAACATTTAAAGAAAATCTATACACGAAATACCTGTACCAATATATAAAGCTGTCGAAAGTGAAGCCATCATAGACGAAAACTCAGACTAACTCCTCTAGTAATTATCTAGTTCTTGCATAAATATATTTGACTTTGTAGAACTAGTAAAATTTGAAAATCTTACAAAAAGAACCGTAATTTAGTAAATCGAAGCAAACTTTTTTCAGTAATCACATTTGGGGTGCGGCTTCGTATCCTCGCCGATTTCCTTAGCCTTGCACCCTTTGCCGGTATGCTAAAACCTGAACACACAGAATTAGAACAATGACTGTTTATTCCATATGCCATAGCAAGAGAAAATATGCTCAGTTCGACTTTTTATACATCACAGGGGAGGATAAAGTTCTTACCAGATTCTGCTCGGTAAAACTGGCAAGTATTTCACCCAACATCTGATGCTCGTTCAACAGCCGTAGCTCGTTTTGGCACGGGTTTACTACACCGAGTTTGTTTTTGAAACTTTGAGAGCTGTTTAGAGGATGAAAATCTTTCACTATCAGTATCTCGATTTCACTGGCTTCCATGGATGTCTGCATAGCAACATACTGCAAGAATAGGGGATCCAAAAACCATTCAGGATTCTGTATCTACTTCTTCGTGAAAATATGAAAATATGTCGGACAGCTGAATAAATATTTTCAAGAACTAGAAAACGCAGGTGTGGAAATACCTGGCATAAGTGTCTAACTGACGATCTTGAGCTACAGCAGAGATAAGGTCTCTTCAGGCTGGGTATTTTGTCCTCGATCAACGAAACAAGCGTGAGACTAATCTTTATCTGAAAAAGAAATCAAAACTCAAACCTCTCAAGTTTCTCACTAGAATGCCACCGCAGTAACACGAAAATGAAGCTGTTCTTATTTGTCTGCATATTTCATTATTTGCTTATACCAAATCAACCCTTAACCATACAGCTCAACTCAATTTCAAACGTCGGGGGGGGGGGGGGGGGGGGGGGGGGGGGGGG